CACCTGGGATGTGCAGACATTCAATAAATGTTTGTTGAATGAGTGGATGGCTCCGGTATTGAGTCTAGCTCATCAGTCTGGCTTTCATTAGCCTCATTTCCTGCCACTGCCACCCTCATTGTGGCCACCAGGGCTGTTTCCTGTTTGGTGAGTATACAAGCTGCCCTGACAAGACAACTTGCTCTATCTGCAAATCCCTTGCTTAGAGCCCTCTTGCTTAATTCTGTTTCCGTCAAAATTGTGGCAGAACTTGTTGCTTTGTACCCCCTAATGATGCCAAATTGTCTTGGAGGTTGTTCCCTATTAGCTCATTCTTCATAACAGCTGCACAGCATTGCGGGTACGTTAACTTCCTGAGGCTCTGTCTTGGTTATCTAATGCTGCTATAACAGATATGCCACAAGTGGGTGGTTTTAACATATAGAAATTTATTTTCTTATGGTTTAGGAGGCTAGAAGTTTGAATGCAGGGCACCAGCTTTAGGGGAACATTCCCTCTGTCTGCTTGGGGGAAAATCCTTGTCTCAGCTTCTCTAGTGTTCTTGGTTTTCCTTAGCGATCACCACATGACATTTCTCTTTCCCTCATTTGTGCTTCCTTGATTTTGTGCCTAATTACTACACTTTTTTTAACTCAGAAGTGATTAGGTTTAAAACATACTCTACACTGGTAAGCCTCATTAATACAACAAAGAAAACTGTTTCCTAATGGGATTACATCCACAGATATAAACCAAACCAAACCCATTGCTGTCTAGTCGAATTCTGACTCAGTGATCCTATAGGACAGAGAACTGCCCCGTAGAGTTTCCAAGGTTGTAATCTGTATGGAAGCAGACTGCCACATCTTTCTCCCGAGGAGTAGCTGGTGGGTCCGAACCGCAGACCTTTTGTTTCGAAGCCGAGCGCTTTAACCACTGCACCACCAGGGCTCCCACACCACAGGCATAGGGGTTAGGATTCCAACATATAATTTGGGGGGACACAATTCAATCCATAACACTCCACCACAAAGTACCAGAAACTGGGCGGCTTAAAACAAAGAAATTCATTCAGTTTTGGAGGGCAGAAGTCCAAAATTAGGGTGTTGGCAGGGTTGTGCTCCCTCTGAAGGCTCTAAGGAAGAATCCTTCCTTGTCTCTTCCAGCTTTTGGTGGCTCCAGGCATTCCGCGGCATGTGGCTGCTTCACTCCAGTCTCTGCCTCTGTCCACGCATCGCCATCTTTCCCGTGTCTCTGTGTGTCAAAATCTTCCTCTGCTTTCTCTTCTAAGGACACCAGTTGTTGCATTTAGGGCCCATTCTAAATCCAGGATGATTTCTCAAGATCCTTAACTAATTACATCCATGAAGACCCTATTTCCAAATAAGGTTACATTCTGAGGTTCTGGATAGACATGAATTTTTTGGGGGGCCACTATTCAACCCACAGCTTTCTTTATTTGACCAGTTCCCTACTGTGGATATTTACGTTGTTTTGATCGCTTGCTGTTTGAAACAGTGACACCATGACTATTGTTGGGTGCTGCTGAGTCGATTCCGACTCACAGCAACCCTGTGTAGCTGTAACAAACAGAAATTTATTTTCTCACAGTTAGGAGGCTAGAAGTCCAAAATCAGGGCACCACCTCTAGGGGAAGGCAGGTGCTGGTGGCGGGGTGGAGGATGGGGAGTTAGAAAAAAAATGAGTGCATTTTCACTAAAACTGAAATAGCTGGGGGGAAAATGTAATATAATGCTTGTGGAACGGAAGGATGTTCTAATATGGCTAAAAACCAAAAAACCAAACCCATTGCCACTGAGTCGATTCCAGCTCAGTAGAACTGCCCCATAGGGTTTCCAAGGCTGTAATCTTTATGGGAGCAGGCTGCTACATCTTTCTCCCGTGGAGTGGCTGGTGTGTTTGAACTGCTGACCTTTTGGCTAGCAGCCAAGAGTTTAACCACTGTGTCACCAGGGCTCTTTCTAATATGGCAGTGTTTGTAAATTGTGTACTGGCTTCAGGGTTCAAAAAGTTTCTTAAGGGAAGGCCTTTGGGTTGGGGAGGCCCAGTGGGCAGGCCTCTCAAGACCCCAAGGCCTGATCCACAGTTGTTTCCGTCTGTCCTGTGTGGGCCGAATGTACCTACTGCTCTTCATTCCCACAGCACAACAGCCTCCTCGCTGGCCTCCCTCCCTTTGCCATTGTTGTTAGGTGCCTTCGAGTTGATTCTAAAGCATAGTGACTCCATGTGACGGTAGAACTGCTCCGTAAGGTTTTTAAGGTTATACTTTCAGGAGTAGATCACCAGCTCTTTTCTCCCATGGAGCCTCTGGGCGGGTTCTAACTGCTAATCTTCTGGTTAGCAGCCAAGCGCTTAACCACTGAGCCACCAGGGCTCCTTCCCTTTGTCATTACCCCTTCTGCAACCCATTCCCTACGAGAATATCTTAAAAATGGCCTTAAAAACTTACTTTAGTCACACCTGCCAAACTCATCGCAGCCTTTACCTTTGCTGTTCCTTCAGCCCGAAATGCTCTGCTGATACCTCACAGCTGGTTCCACCTAAGAGCCTGTGATTAAATGCCACCTCCTCAGACGCCTTTCCTGACCACTCTGCTTAAAGTGGTCTCCCTCCCCCATTATTCTCTATCATGTTACCCTCCTTTGCTACCTTCTACTCTTATCACAAAGAGCCCTGGTGGTGCAACAGTTAAGCACTCAGCTGTTAACTGAAAGGTTGGCGGTTTGAACCCACGCAGCGGCTCTGTGAAAGTCCTGTTGATCTGCTCCCGTAAAGATGACATCCTAGGAAACCCCGAGGAGCAGTTCTACTGTCACATGGGGTTGCTGAGTTGACGGCACCCAATGACAATCCTTATCACTGGGAATCCCTGGGTGGTGCAAACGGTTAAAGTTGCTAACTGAAAGTCTGGAAGTTTGAGTCTATGCAGAGGTGACTCAGAAGAAATGCCTGGCTACCTCCTCCTGAAAAATCACCCATTGGAAACCCTGTGGAACCCAGTTCTACTCTGACACACATGGGGTCACCATGAGTTTGGGTTGACTCTAGTGGTTACCCTTATCACTGAGACTATCTTGATCATCTGTTACCTTAAGTCATTTTGGAATCACCAGAATTTAAACTTCATTAAGAGCAGGGATCCTGTCTCATTTTCCACTGTGTCCTCAGCTCTGAGAACTGGGTCAGGCGCACTGATGATGTGCAGTGAACGAATGTTTGCTGAATGATGACTGACTAAAATGATAAGTGAGTGAACACTGCTTGTTCGTAAGAACAATGCATTCCATCCCTCAAGAGTAATGCAGGAAAGTAAGATACGCTGGCAGGGTGGGTCAGGATGCTACTCCCCTCCCCGCACCCTACCCTCCAGCCTAGCCCACACTGCTCACGAGACACTCTTCCTGTTGGGGAATGGTCTGACTCTACACCTGACATATGGATTGCCTAAGCAGAGGCCTTGGGCCCAGAAAATTCTCTGTTAAGGATAGACTTTGGGTCTCTCTCTCCCAGTCCCTCCTCTTTACCAGAGAAGCCTTCCCCGTTCTGGGCACACAGTAAACTTCTGTCTCTGGCTCATGCAGGGGCACTATGGCACCTGGCCAACCTCCCTTCTACATCTGTTCCCAGTGAGGTTAAGGGGTCTCCCTCAACTGCACAATGAGAGGGGTGCGCGTGGAATATCTATCTGCCCTGCACCGGCTACAGAGGGCAACTCACTGGCCATGGGAGACTGGCGTCCACTAGTGAATTTTATCTCGCTGTCTCTTCTTTGTGTGAATAAAGCGTTGTCTCATGCACAATTAGAGTGTGAATGTGTCTTTTGTTGGTGACCTCGAACTCTGCCTTTGTTCAGTCAGGCCGTTTCCTCTGCCCACAGCACCCTTACCCCCACCTTCACAGATAACAATGTTCTTTGCCCTTTCAAGGCTCATCTCAAATGTTATCTCCTCAAGGTGCCTCCCCCAGTCCCCTCGGCCACAAGCCTTCTCTCCCATGTTTCTCTCTTCTCCCTTCTGTTAAGTAAAAATGACCACTTCTGTCTGTAGTTATTTATGTTTGTATATTTAGTCCCTTCCCACATTGGAACATGAGTTTTGCAGGTGGGGTCTCTGCAACCCCAGTGTTTGGTGGCATCAGGTGGAGAGAAGGAATGAACATTTTCATATGCAAAACTTTAATCAGAGAACAAACATGTACACATGGAGGATGGGTCTGCACTGGCTCACAGCAACAGAGGTAACGAATTACAGAGACTGCCCCCGCTGGCTGCCAACTTTCCACAGGGGCTCTGACCTCTCTCTTTGGTGTCAACACTCTCAGTGAACACAAACCTATCAATTTGTGTGCCCATCTCTGACCTGCTCCACAACACTTTCCACATACCTTTAGTGTGTAACACACCTGTTTCCCAGACTGGACAGGGTTCTGGAGGGTACGGGCTGTGGGCGGGGAGCTGAGGGTTAGCCATTTGAAAAGCAGTGTGTCCTCCGCTATGGTGTGGGCCCTATGGTAAGTTCTCAAACAGCTTAAATGACAAAACCAACCAATAAAACTCAAGGTGCAAGGTTTTAAAAGCCCAAGAGTACAGAACATACACCTCTAAACTTCTTTAAGCACCAAAAAGCATGAAAGATTAAGAGTGTGTCAGTGTCCAACGTCTTCATGAGGTTCTACTGTGCTTCAGCCAACATGTGACTGGTTTACTTAACCTGCAGGGTACAGGTACCCAGAGTTCAGGAGGCTCCATCAAGAGGGAGCTGGCTGTGTGGCTCCGTTAGGTGAGTCTCAACTTATGGAACAGGCTTGGCCAAGGTTTACTTGGGGGCTCCAAAAGGAAAGACCACTTCCCCACTAGACTCTCCAACAATCCTCAGTGGCCACAGACCTTACTAGGTGACATGAGTGAATGTGGCATCTTAGATGTCAACTATCAGCCAATAGCGCTCCTTTGTGAACTTGAGGCCATTCATTTCCCTTTCACCCACCAGCAATGTGCCCAGTGAGTGGCTGGCTCGGACATCTGGTGAATGGTAAACATCCTAGCAATCTTTTTCCTACAACACAATTTGCATCACCACGCACCATTTCCATATAGGTTGTTTCCTTGGTGGTAATATTCAATGCAGCCTTTCTGAGTTCGGCAGTGTTTTCAGTATTGTCAACTCCCATGCTAATCTGGGTCTCACATAACCAAAGGCTTTAAACTGGGGAGGAAATGGGAAGAGGTAGTGTGTGTATGTGGGACAGGGGCCCTTTTTGAGTAAAAGGTTTGGGAGGTTCAAAGTCGAACGTTTTAGCCATTTGAGGTTAGGCATGAGGAGTTTGAATGCTTTTTTTGGCTTTCTGTGGGTTAGTTAAGAAAAAAACTAGGACAAAGCAGAGATGGAGGAAAAGAAGGGAAAAACCAGAAGTTAAGAGAGCAAGGAGCTGGGTTTTTAGAACCAAATTAAGCCAAAGGTAATTTCAAAAAGTTAGAGCCGTGCGTAACATTAGGAAGAACATCAAGTGCAGTAAACAGAGAGATAGAAGGTTGCCAATTCTTTTCTTCCTTTTAATACAAAAGAGTATATTGATGTTATAGTTATAGCTCACGCTTGGTGAGTATTTATGTGCTGGGCACTCATTCTAAGTGCTTTACATTTACTAATCTACTTAATCCTCACAACAGCTCTCTGAGGTAGGTAACTATTATCATTCCCATTTTACAGATGAGGAGACTGAAGCCCTGAGAGGTTCCATGTTTCCAAGGTCACTTAGGTAGTAGATGACAGAGCTGGGATTTAACTCAGGCAGACTGGCTCCAAAGTCTACCTTTTAATTCTAACACTATATTGCTTCTCAGTGTTTGTGTTTTCATTGCAACTCATGTGCAGATTTAAGTCTTTATTAACAGATTTATTTTGGAGCGGGGAGCTTGCAACATGGTGGTTTCCACGTTTGACCTCTGATGAACATAGAGTCTGTGACTCTGCTGCCACCTAGTGGCCATGGAAAATATGGCTGCTTTCTATTTGTTTTGAATTATGGCTACTTGTTTTGAGTGTGAACTCGCTGGTGTCGGCTGAGGCCTGAGCAGCATCTAAAGGCCTTCTGACAATGTTGACACTGATAAGGTTTTTCTTGGGTGTGAATTCTCTGGTGCTGACTAAGATGGGTGCTGAGGCCAAAGGCTTTGCCACACACATCACAGGCATAAGGCTTCTCACCAGTGTGAATTCTCTCATGTTGTGTCAGATTTGCTTTCTGGGCAAAGGCTTTCCCGCATTCGGCACATACGTAGGGCTTCTCTCCAGTGTGAATTCTCTGGTGAATGGAAAGGCATGAGCTCTGGCTGAAAGCTTTCCCACATTCCTTACAAACATAAGGCTTCTCCCCCGTGTGAACTCTCTGGTGTCGGATAAGTTGGGCACCCAGGCTGAAGGTTTTCCCACAGTCACTGCATTTGTAGGGTTTTTTGCCTGTGTGAACTCTCTGATGTTTGGAAAGGCAGGAGCTCTGGCGGAAAGTTTTGCCACATTCGTTACACTCAAAGGGCTTCTTTCTGGCATGAATTCTCTGATGCTGAATGAGGTAATTTATCTGGGTGAAGACTTTGTCACACTTGTTACATTTGAAAGGTTTCTCTCCAGTGTGAACTAACTGATGTTCTGAAAGATGTGTGCTTTGGTTAAAGGTCTTTCCGCACTCATTACATTTAAATGGGTGCTCGCTTGTGTGGGTGGCCTGATGCTCAGTGAGGGAGGAGCTGCGGCTGAAGGTTTTCCCACATTCACCACATTCATAGGGTTTCGCTCTAGAGTGGATTCTCTGATGGCGAATAAGCTGTCTATTTTGGCTAAAGGCTTTCCCACATTGGCTACACTCAAAGGGCTTCAGCCTGGTGTGAATCCTCTGATGCTGATTTAGATATTTGCTTCGACTAAAGGCTTTCTCACATTTGTTACACTTGTAGAGCTTCTCTCCAATCCTTGGGTGCTCTGTAGGTTGTGAGTCCTGATTCAAGACCTTCCCACTCTCAACCAACCCTTGTTTTTCTCTTGTGTGAACAATCTGGTGACAACTCAGGGTCGAGCTGCAAATGAAGCGTTCTCCACACTCCTGACATTCATAGGGGGCTTCTACAGTATGGATCTTCTGATGCTGAATAAGGTGTTCATTATGGCTGAAGGTCTCCTTGCAGTCAGCACAGCTGTAGGGTTTGCCTGTGCTATGTGTCGACCGATGGCGAATCAGGTGCGAGGGCCGGCTGAAACTCTTGACACACTCAGGACATTTGTGGGGCCTGTAGCCTGTATGCGTTCTCTTATGTTCACTAAGATGAGTGTTCCGGCAAAAGGCTCTTCCACACTCACTGCATTTGTAAGGCTTCTCCCCACTGTGAACCCTCTGATGGATCTTTAGAGTTGAGGTATGCCTGAAGAGTTTTCCACATTCATTACACTTGTAAGGCTTCTCTCCAGTGTGGACAGACTGGTGTTCGATGAGTGATGCACTGCTCCTGAAGGCCTTCCCACATTCCTGACATTCAGAGGTAGTTTTTGCAACATGAGTCTTCTGATGTTGGATGAGATGTTTACTCAAGTTGAAGGTCTCCTTGCATTTGGCACATTCATAGTGTTTCCGAGTGTGGGTCTGCTGATGTCGAGTAAGATGGAAGGTTCGACTGAAAGTCTTGCCGCACTCGTTACATTTGTAGAGTCTGCCAGCTGGGTGAGTTTTCTGATGCTGAACAGGCTGTGCGCTGTGACTGAACGCATGGTCACTGTCTTGACTCCTGCACAGTTCTTCTCCAGTGTGAATTTTCTGATGCCACAGGAGGTGTGTATTCTGACTAAAAGTTTTCCCACACACATTACACACATAGGATTTGTAGACTGAGTGAGTTATCTGATGCACAAAAAGGCAAGAACTCTGGTTGTAATCTTTCTCATAGTCCTGACACATGGTGGTGGGTTTCTCTTTAGTGTGAATGATCCAGTGCTGGATAAGGTGGTAACTCTGACTGAAGGTTTCCCCACATTCACTACATTTATATAGTTTCTCGCCACCCTGGACTGTATCATCTTGTTGGCTCTGGTCTGAGTAGCGGCCAAAGTCATTCTGAAATTCCTGAGGTTTCGCTGGTGTGAGGCTCTCTTCAGGAAGATCATACACCATGGAATTCTCTCCTGTGAAGAGGAAGGACCTAGGACTAAAGCCTCTCTTGAGCTCTGGGCTACTGCACTTTGTGGGACTTTCCTTGTTGGTGACAAAGTCAGATCTCAGAAGACTCTCAGGATCTCCTAGCAAATTATCTAACCAGCTCTCACCAATACAAGCTTCTCCCAAACTGGAATAACAGACTGGATCCTTTGCAAAGGTCTCCATTATCTCCTGGGATAGTCCTTCTTCCAGGAAGTCTTGCTTAAGAGGAGAGCTCTTGGGCTCAGCCGTATCTGAAAGAGATGGAAAGTGCAAATGTCTCCTGTTCCCAAGGGTAGAGAAACAGGAACTGCTGGGTGAGAATGTGGACAAGAGGGAGTATGGGTCCTGAGTCAAGCCTCTCACTCAAGGGGATAAATGCAAAGGGGCCAGAAGTGGTCTGGCTTGAACTGGCATCACAGAAAACAAAGAGCACATTCCTGGGAAGTCTAAGACATAAGATGGGGAACAGCACAGTTTCAACAGGGAAGGAGATCCTCTTAGCGAATATTCCCCTCTATCACCCTCATACCTAAATTACTGAGCAAGTTTCCTAAAGCGTCCAGTACGCATCTTCTTCCTCTCCTCCACCCTATCCTTCACTGTCCCTAAAATCTTGCTTCTCTTATCCTGGGTTCCTCATCCCGGTACAGCCATCCATCCAGTCCTCCAAGCCAGACTCCTAGAAGTCAACCTTCACTTCTCCCCTCTTCCTCGACTTCAGTACCACTTTGTTAGCTCTCCTTCAAATCTTCTCAACCCCCTCTCCTCTATCATCAACTCCCATCTGGCCCCAGACCTCCAGTTTCTTCCTAGTCCTGCATGCTAGCTCCAAGGGACTTTCTAATAAACAGATCTGACCATGCCACCCCCTAGATTAAACCCTTCCATGGCTCCTTGTCTGGAGGAGCGAAGTGCAAATGTACTAGCTCCACATTCTTTGTGGCAGCTCCACAGAACTCTTGCAGTTTCCTGAATCCAGCGTATTCTCACCTACCTATGTGTCCTTACTAATGCCCAGCTTGGGTATCACCTTCCTCTGAGAGCCTTCTTTGATACCATGGTATGGACTGAATTGTGTCTTCCCAATATACGTGTTGAAATCCTAACCCCCGTATCTGTAAATACGACTCTGGAAATAAGGGATTTCCTTTGTCATGTTAATGAGGCCAGAGTGGGGGGGGGGGTCCCTATACTAATCACTTCTGAATTATAAAAACAGTAGAATAGACACAAAGATACACATAGGAGGAAGAGGAGGATAGATGATGGGGACAGATACATCTATAAGCCCAGGAACACTAAGGATTGCTGGCAACTACAAATCCCTGAGTGGCACAAATAGTTAAGAGCTCAACTACTGGCCAAAAAATTGGCAGTTGGAGCCTAGCCAGAGGCCTTGGAAGACAGGCCTGGCAATCTGCTTCCGAAAGGTCACAACCTTGAAAACCCTATGGGGCAGTTCTACTCTGCACACACAGGGTCGCCATGAGTTGGAACTGACTCACAAGTAACAATGACAACACTAGAAACGGAAAGGTACAAGGAAGGAGCTCCCCCTAGAGCCACGCCCTGAATTTGGATTTCTAGACTCCTGAACAGTGAGAAAATATATTTCTGTTCTTTAAAGCCACCCACTTGTGGTATTTCTTTTTATATCGGCACAGGTAACATCTCCACACCCTATTCTGCTTTAAACACCTTCCCTTGTATTCTCTGAACTATAGCTGAGCACTTACCACCCACAATTTTAAGTATGTGTTACTGGGTCTGATCCCTGACCAGATGGTGAGGTTTTTGGTGGGGACCTTCTATTGCTCATTTGTGTATCTTCAGAGCCAGTCTGGGGCTGCCATGCAGGAGGCTACAGGAAATGTTCACCAAGGGGAATAATTCCCATTGATGGTGTTTGCTCACTGGGAGGGGCACTTCTGATATATCCTCAGTGACTCCTCACAGCCACTCTGTAAGGTGGGCACTTTTATCCTTTTATACAACTAAGTCAGCAGCAAAGCTAGGGTTCAAACCCAGGCCCATCAGACCCAATAGTGCCAAGCCATATGTCTTAGTTATCTAGTGCTGCTTTAACAGAAATACCACAAATGGGTAGCTTTAACAAATAGAAATTTATTTTTTCACAGTTTAGAAGGCAGGAAGTCTGAATTCAGGGCACTGGGTCTAGAGGAAGGCTCTCTCTCTGTCGGCTCTGGGGGAAAGTCCTTGTCTCTTTTCAGCCTTGGCTCCTTGGTGATCTTCATGTGGCATGGCTTCTATCTTTCCCCATCTCTGCTCTTTTATATCTCACAAGACTGACTTAAGACACACCCTACACTAATACTTCCTTACTAACATAACAAAGAAACCTGTTCACAAATGGGATTATAACCACAGGTATAACTACCCACCCGGCCAAAAAAAAAACCCCAAAAAACCCCAAACCTGTTGCCTTTGAGTAGATTCAGACTCATAGCAAACCTATATAGGACAGAGTAACACTGCCCCATAGGGTCTCCAAGGCTGAAATTTTTATGGAAGCTGACTGCCACATCTTCTGTGGAGTGCTGCTGGGTTTGAATCATAGGTATAGGGGTTAGGATTTACAACACATATTTTTGGGCAGGACACAATTCAATCCATAAAACCATACTACTCTCTGGGAACCATCCAACACATGAAGTTCCTCTACTCCATCCTGCACCATCATTACCCTTTTCCAAGCCTGTTCCCTCTTCTACAATTTCTTGGCCTACCATCTATTTAGTATCTTGGAGACTACTCGATGTCTTTCAGCCTGGAACTGAAATGAGCAAACTAAAACCTTCCAAAACCAGCTCCTGCCCTTTACGGTCAAGCTGGCCTCTGCTTTGTCTCCCACGGACATCAGGCTCATGCTCCTCACCAGCTTTTGTTCAAGCTGCTCTCCTGCCTGGGATGCATCAACACACATGTAATAGGCACTTCATGTGGGCCAAGCTGGAGACACAAAGATGAATCAGCTAAGGTCTAATTCCTAGAGAAGTGCACTGTTAAAGGGGGAAGGAGAAAGAAATTTTAACAATATGATTACTACTACTGGAAGAAAGGGTATGAGATTAAGAATACAGAAGGTATTTGGTTGAGGTGCTCACTCTGCTACTAACCGAAAGGAAACCAAAGGAACCTTGAAATAAAGGCCTGGCAATCGACTTCTGAAAAAATCAACCACTGAAAAGCCTATGGAGCACAGTTCTACTCTGACACAACACAGTCATCATGCGTTGGAATAAACTCGACAGTAACTGGTTACTGGTTAAAGGTATGGCTGCATAAGCTTGGAAACATCCCCTATGTTAAGCTGGTAGAAACAGGAATCAGAGGTGGTGGGAGTCTGCGCCTGTATTAGTAAACTACACACAAACACTGGTATGATGAAGAGGAGGCTGCAGAGGGCTCATGAGAGATGAGCCAAGAACAGAGGCTGACCAGATTGGGTGGAGGCTAAGACTACACTGTGCAGGCACCATGCCTATGGTCTCTGGTTCCAGATCCCTCCTCATGTCAACAGTACTATGATTAGAAGAGTCACTCGTGCTCCAAGCCAGGTACCTGCCTCTGCTTCCTCTCACTGGGGAGGTCATGACCAGATGTGACACCCTGGGAATCCTCATCACCTAACTCAACCCACCTGAAGGAACCCTGGGCTGGGCAATCGCAGAGCGAGTGCTCTTGGTGGCATTTATGCCTGAGCTTGGGTTACTTACAAATGTGGCCATTTGCTGTGCCCCTTGGGGCCAGGAAGGAGGGCTGGGTCTGTACAAAGGGGGGTCAAATATGTAGACTGGGGATCCCTAGTGCTCAGGTTGTGTAAGACAGGCAGTGGAGAGAACTGACCCCAGGAATGGAAGGACCCTCCATTCCTGAGGCAGGAAGGAACAAGGAGGGGGCGGAAGGAAGGGTGCCAGAACAGACCTATGGCCGGCAGGTCAGAGTGAGGAGCCTGTTAAAGTGTTCCCATCCCACCTGGGATGAGGGGACAGAAGCCAGCCAGTGGTAGAGTGAAGCCCAGAAGCCAGGTGTTGAGATGTCTGGGTGGACGTGTTGGAGGGTTGGCTGGAGCCTCTAGCTGGAGGCTTGGAGGACGGAGAGTATGACAATAGCTGTTCCCATGACCCCACCACCCTCCGTGGGGGATAAGTCTGCCCTCCCCACCTGCCTGGGTCATCCCCACTCACCGGGGTCTGCTGCTTTCGAGCTTTCTCTCCCCAGGGCTTCCAGCTCTTCCCCATCACCTGGGTGGGAGATCAGGTTGGGTCTCAGGGGGTCTGCAGGGAAAGAATGGCAAAGTCACCCACCAAGACTGTGGGTCCGCCCCAATACTCAGTGGGAGACTTCCAGTTTTCTTGTTTGATTATTTATCCCACGCACACTTCCTGTGGGCCAGATCTTGTGCTGGGTGGTCAGTCAGCCCAGTCCTGCCCTGGAGGGTTCCCAGTCTGGTAGAGAGAGACCCAGATGGTCACGATCGAGGGTAATAGCCAGAGGTGGGGGCACAAAGGACCTAAGATGTCTCATGAAGGACAAGAGGCACGTACGATTCACTTACTACCCAGGTATCACACATCACCCCAAGGCCTCTGAGGGCCAGGCCTATGATGGAAGATGCTGGGGACTCAGAATCCAATCAGTCTAGTGAAGAAATTTAGCATAGCCCAGGCAGGGGAGGAAACTTCTAAATACAGCCTTGAAAAAAAGACGCAAGTTGGACAACAGGGAAAGGAGAGCGTCAGGAGAAGTAACTGTATGCACAAAGGCCCTGTGCCTGGAGAGAGGGGCTGGTTCTCCACACAGGGTCCTAGGTGGGGATACAGAGGAGGCAATGGGGCAGGAGGACGGGCTAGGCAGGGGCCACATCTCCATGGGCCTTAAATGCTGGGCCGAGGAATCAGGGACCTCCTCTCCACCTCAGGGACCTCTCAGGCTGGTGGGGGAGACAAGGATGGTTGAGAGAAAGTTATAACCAAAAGGGATCACGGCTGTAACAGAGACCCAGGGGCTGGGGGAGCAACTGCCTGCTTGGAGACATCAGCAAAGGCTTCCAGAAGATACTTTCTGAGATGGGTTTGGAAGAAAAGAGCATACCAAGTAGAGAAAGGCATAAATTGATTATTTAGATCAGGAGTCAGCAAACTTTTTCTTAAAGAGCCAGGTTGTAAATAGTTGAGGCTCTGCTGTCTCTGTGGCAACTACTCAGCCCTGCCATTGTAGCAGTATGAGAGCAGCCACAGAGGAGAAGTAAGCAAAGGGCCGGTTCCAATAAAGCTTTGTTGACAAAACTGGTGGTGGGCCAGTGCACCTGTGGGCTGCTGTTTGCCAGCCCCTGATTTACACCAACACTTCGTGGAGGGCTCCTAAGTGCCAGGCCCTGCAGATGCAGCACCGAACCACACTCGGTCCTTGTCCAAGGACCTGTGAGTCTGCCTAGTAAATCACTGAATATGGGTTGGTCTTGGGGACCCCCAACACAGCTGGGAGGGTTAATTCCCCTCCCCAGACCTCAGTTCCCTGATCGACAAAACAGAGACAATCGAACTTCCTTGTGAGGTTACTGGAGGACTTAACGAGACTATTCTAAGTACTCAGTTCATCAAGCTCAGGGCCTGGCTCCAGACAATGCATCTTCTGGGGATCATTCATTTATTAATTTAACAGACATGTGCTGAGCCCTACAGCAAGACTGTTTTTTCTAGGAACTGGGGCTATCCTAGTAAGTAAAATTCCTGCCCTTACAAAGCGCACATTCTAGCAGAGGAAAACAAGTAATGAAATAAGTGGTTAGAAATCGATGCAGCTATGGAGAAAGGTAAGCAGGAAAGTGAGCTATGGAGTGCTAATGGGGCCACAGTTTACAGTCTGAAACGAGAAGCCCCAGCGAAGGGAAGGGATGAGAGCCTTCTAGGTAGAAGGAAGGGGAACTGCAAAGACCCTGAAGTGTCAGCTTGAGGAATTACTCTATAGTTATGAGGAGGAAAGGGCTGGAGATGAGGCTGGAGATGGGGCAGGGGACAGATCAGGGTTCTCAACCTGGACACTACTGATGTTTAAGGCTGGATGGGTCTTTGTGGCAGGGACTGTCCTATGCATTGTAGGATGTTGAGCAGCATCCCTAGCCTAGATGCCAGTAGCACTCCACCCACCTAAGTGGTGACAACCAAAACTGTCTCTACACATTGTTAAATGCCCCGTGTGGGGCAGAATCACTCTGGGCTGATTCTGAGGAGCTCAGGAGCTGGAACTTCACCCTGGTTGTGGTGGTTGAATGGAAGAGCACCAAGCAAAGCCAGGACTGGGCCCCGGGGGTCAGGGCAGATACTCACTCAGCAGGAAGAGGTTCTGGTAGTTGTCCAACGCTGTGTCCCAGAACAGATCCCCCTGGTCCAGCCCCAGCTGCTCCCAGTCCTCCAAGGTGAAGTCCATGGCCACGTCCTTGAGGGTTACAAACTCCTGAAAGGCAACACACTGTCAGTCACTCAGGGTCCAGAGTTAAGGGAAAAAGAAAAAAATAAAACAGTTGCTGTCCAGTCAATTCCGACTCATGGTGACCCCACGTGTGCAGAGTAGAACTGTGTACCACAGGGTTTTCAATGGCTAATTTTTTGGAAGTCGATCACCAGGCCTGACTTCCGAGGCACCTCTGGGTAGACTCGAACTGCCACCAAGGGACTCCGCAGAGCAGCCCAGCCCTTAGGAATCTCAAAATGGATCCACCAGAGGTACCTTCTAGGATAGAACTCCTTATTAAGGAGGAACTTCTGGGACTAGATTAAAAAATGAGCAGGAAGGGAGAAAAGCGAAGAGATGGTTCAGACCAAAGTACAAGAAGGGAACAGAACTAAGAAACCCCAGAGAGCAAGCTGCCATGTATCGTTGAACACTACAGAAACACACCAGTAGAGGAAACTCTGTGAAGTTAGAAAAGCAGGGTATCTTTTCTAATTAGGTAAGTTCAAGAAAATGAACTTCATCCAAAAATGAAGCCCCAGATGCACAATGGTTTGAACCCACCAGCTGCTCTGCTCAATGAGAGAAAAACCTGGTGATCGGCTCCTGTAAAGATTACAGCCTAGAAAACCCTATGGGGGCAGTTCTACTCTGTCACATGGGCTAGCAATAAATCAAAATTGACTCGATGACACCTAACAACCACAGTTCAAGAAAACTAAGTTCATCTAAACATCAGCAAGAGGGAAGTATCAAGATTAAATCCCCCAAAAGCAGATAACAATCCCACACACATTAAAAGTACATTAGAAAGGCATATCTAGAAAGCAGATCAAAACTGGATCTACAGTTCAAAATGAGCTAAAAAACATTAAGAAAATGATAAACATAAAAGAACATGAAACAGAATTATAAAAAAATGGAAACTAGGTGACAGAACTCAAGAATTAGCAATAAAAGAAAAAAAATTTCAGAAATAATAAAGCAGAAGATAAAAAAAGTGAATATAACAGATAATGCCTTAAGAAAATAGGTGACGAAAGGAGGACATTTTTAAAAACCAGAAATAAACAGATAAAAAGGATTTGCAAGAAGAAAAGAAACAAAGAAGATCAAATCTTTGGTTACATGAGTACCTAAAGAAGAAAACCAAATGAAAGGAAAAGGATAAATAAAAATACTGCAATTCAAGAAAATGTAACTGAAATAAAAATAATAACGGACATTTCACATGCAGTAGGATGGCTAAAAGAAGCCCTGGTGGCACAGTGGTTAAAGCACTTGGCTGTGAACTGAAAGGTCAGGGCTTCAAACCCGCCAGCCACTCTGCAGGAGAAAGATGTGGCAGTCTGCTTCCATAAAGACTTACAGCCTTGGAAAACCTATGGGCAGTTCTACTCCGTCCTATAAAGTCACTAAGAGTCAGAATTGACTTGACCGCAACGGCTTGTTTTGGTTTAGGATGACTAAGATAAAAACGACACACAATAACAAGTGTCAGTAAGAATGTAGAAAAATTGGAAACTTCATCTGCTACTGGTAGGAATGTAAAATGGTATAGCCACTTTGGAAAACAGTCTGGCAGTTCCTCAAAAAGTTAAGTTATAGACTTACCATATGACCCAGCAGTCCCACTCCTAGGTATATACCCAAGAGAAATGAAAACTTAGGTCTATGCAAAACTTGTATATAAATGTTTGTTGCAGCATTAATAATAATAGCCAAAAAGTAGAAACAACTCAAATGTTCATCGACTGATGAATGGAAAAATAAAATGTGGTAAATCAATACAAATGGAATGTTATTTAGCAATAAAAAAAAATAAAGTACAGATCCATGCTGCAAGAGTGAATCTTGAAAACATGATGCTAAGTGAAAGAAATCAGTCACAAACTACACGTTGCATGATTCTACTTAAATGAAACGTCCACAATAGGCAAATTCATAGGAATATAAAGTAAATTAATGGTTGTATAGGGCTAAAGGAGAGTCCCTTGGGTGGCGCAAATGTTAAGTGACGGACTATTAACCTAAAGACTGGCAGTTCAAAACCACCTAGAGGTGCCGCGGAAGTGAGGCATGGAGATCTGCTTCCAAAAACCCTATAGATCAGTTCTACTCTGCAGATATGGGGTTGCTATGAGTAGGAATCGACTCCAAGGTAACAACAGCAGGGCTGGGGTAAGTAAGGAGAGGGGTAGGGAGTGACTGCTAATGGGTACGGGAGTTTGTTTTTGGGGTACTGAAAATGTTGTAAAACTAGACAGTGGTGACAATTGCACAACTTTGTGAGTATACCAAAAACCACCAAATTGTGCACTTTAAATAAGTGAACCTTATGTTCAGCAAATTATATCTCAACAAAGCTGTTACTGTTATGTCTAAAAATGGGAAAAAGCAAGTGAGTAATTATGGGATATTTAATTGTATTATTCCTTGGGTCCTTAAGAATCTCGAATCTCAGTGTTCAAGAAAGAATGCAGAGACTGAATAGACCAAAAACCAAACCGGTTACCATTGAGTCAATTCCAACTCACAGCGACCCTACAGGACAGAGCAGAAATGCCCCATACGGTTTCCAAGGCTGTAATCTTTATGGAAGCAGACCGTCACATTCTTTCTCCCATGGAGTGGCTGGTGGGTTTGAACCACCAACCGTTTGGTCAGTGCTGAGCACTTAACTCCTGCACCACCAGGGCTTTTTTTTGTTATACTAGATAGCAAGAAAGCCAAGGGGGATTTTAAAACATACTATACAGATGAGTTGTGGGATGACATCAAGGACATCATACATAAAGAAAGCAAAAGGTCATTAAAAAGAGAGAAAAAAGAAAATAACAAAATGGATGTCAGAAGAGACTCTGAAACTTACTCTTGAACGTAAAGTAGCTAAAGTGAACGGAAGAAATGATGAAGTAAAAGAGCTGAAGAGATTTCAAAGGGCAGCTCAGGAAGACAAAGTATTAAAACAAAATGTGCAAAGACCTGGAGTTAGAAAAGTAAAAGGGAAGAACACACTTGGCATTTCTCAAGCTGTGAAGAACTGGAGAAAAAAATCAAGCCTTGAGTTGCAATTTTGAAGGATTCTATGGGCAAAACACTTAATTGTGCTCATGAGGAACCCGTACATAGATCAAGAGGCAGTCATTTGAACAGAACAAGGGGATACTATGATGTTTAAAGTCAGGAAAGGCGTGTGTCAGGGTTATATCCTTTCACCATTTGTATTCAATCTGTATGCTGAGCAAATAATCTGAGAAGCTGGACTATATGAAGAACGCCAGCATCAGGATTGGGGGAAGACTCATTAACAACCTTTGTTATGCAGATGACACAACCTTGCTCATTGAAAGTGAAGAGGACTTGAAGCACTTCCGATGAAGATCAAAGACCATAGCCTTCAATATGGATTACACCTCAACATAAAGAAAACAAAAATCCTCACAACTGGATCAATAAGTAACATCATGATAAATGGAGAAAATACTGAAGTTGTAAAGCATTTCATTTTACTTGGATCCACAATCAACACCCATGGAAGCAGCAGTCAAGAAATCAAACGACATATTGCACTGGGCAAATCTGCTGCAAAAGATCTCTTTAAAGTATTAAAAAGCAAAGATGTCACTTTCAGGACTAAGGTGTACCTCACCCAAGCCATGGTACTTTCAGTTGCCTCATATGCATGCGAAAGCTGGACAACGAATAAGGAAGACTGAAGAAGAATCGATGCCTTTTAATTATGGTGTTGGCAAAGAATATTGAATATACCATGGATTGTCAGAAGAATGGACAAATCTGTCTTGGAAGAAGTACAACCAGAATGCTTATTAGAAGCAAGGATGGCGAGACTATGTCTCACACACTTTGGACATGTTATCAGGAGAGATCAGTCCCTGGAAAAGGACATCATGCTTGGTAAAGCAGATGGCCAGAGAAAAAGAGGAAGACCCTCAACAAGATGGACTGACACAGTAGCTGCAACAATGGGCTCAAGCATAACGATGATTGTGAGGATGGCGCAGGACTGGGCAGTGTTTCGTTCTGTTTTACACGGGGTCACTATGAGTCGGAATGGATTCGATAGCACCTAACAACAACATCAAAATGGCTAAGATAAAAAAGTAAAAGAAAATAACAAACATTGGTGAGGATGTGGGAAAATTGGAACCCTTATCCTTGCTGGTGGGAATGCAAAATTGTACAGCCGTTGTAGAAAACAGTGCAGCAGTTCCTCAAAAAACTAAAAATAGAACTACCATATGACCCAGAAGTTCCACTCCTAGGTATATACCCAGAAAACTTTAAAGCAGAGGCTCAAAAAGAGACCTGTATACCAATGTTCACTGCAGCACTATTCACAATAGCCAAAAAGTGGAAACAACCTACATGTCCATGAACAGACGAATGGATAAACGAAATGTGGCACATACATACAATGGAATACTACTCAGCCAGTAGGAGAAATGAAGTCTTGATACATGCTTGAAGACATTATGCTGAGCGAAATAAACCATGACAAAAAAACAAATATTGTATGACCTCACTTATATAAAAAAACAAGAAAAGGCAAACGTACAGTGACCAAAGTTTATTAGTGGTTACCAGAGCCGGGAGGGAGGGAGAATGGGGGTGGTTATTGGTGATGGAAATATCGCTTTGATTAAGGATACTGCACAGCCGATTATGGTAATTGCTGGCAGTAAGTTGTACACCTGTAAAAAGTTGAACTGACAGAAGTTGTGGGATAAATATATTTACAATGACATTAAAAAAAAAAAAAAAAACAGTAGCTGCTGAGGCTGCTTACTTATACAATAAAACACCTCATGGTTTCATCCCACTTAATTGACCTACTAGTGGTTAGTGCTTCTGTTTACCTTCTAGTGCATAGTGCCTGGGGTCTTAAAAGCTTGCAAGTGGCCATCTAGGGCACAGCAATTGATTTCTATTCACCTGGAGCAACGAAGGAGGAAGGAGAGTCAGGAAATGGAATATGTGGCTAATTGTCTCCATGAACACATGCCTCCTCTGTCATTAGACCAAAAGAACTGGATGGTGCCTGGCTACCATTGCTGAGCGTTTTGATCAAAGATTCCATAGAAGAATCCTGATTAAAGGGGGGAAAATGCAGATCAGAATTTCAAATTCCCATGGACTCCAGACTTACTGGAGCCATGGAGGATGGACGAACCCCTCAAACTACTGCCCTGGGATAATCTTTAAACCTTAAACCAAAAATATCCCCGATGTCTTCTTAAAACCAAACACTACTTTAGCTTAACTAATAAAAAATGTCTGCCTTAAGCATCATACTCTTTTAAGAACTATCTATATGCGATCAAATTGACAACAGCAACTTGAAAGATTAGATAGGAAACTTAGGCGGCAGTGAGTTTATGTTAATGGGGGAGGAACAACTCAGAAAGTGAGGGTGAGAATGGCTGCACTCGAAGAATCTTATTAATCTCACTAAATTATACATGTAGAAACTTGATTTGGTGTATGTTTTGCTGTGCATATTCTCAAGAACAACACTACCAAAAAGGCAGAGGGAAAGGTCTGAGCAAAGGTTGGGAAGCTGGAATGTACAGTGTAACATTTTACCACCAGTCAGCGTGGGGAGGCATCAGAAGATGCCGGAGAGCGAGGCAGGGCCCAGATCATCCAGGACTGAGCTAAGAAACTTGGATTTCATCTTGTAAGGAACAGGGATCCTTGGAGGAGTAATGAGCTGGAAAGCAACAGGATGAGAGCTTTACTTTAAAAAGGTCACCTGAGGGCTGCCATGGAAGTGAGAGAGCCAGAAGAATGGAAGGCCAGCTCTCTAGCCTTTGGGGAGGATCAGTTAAGATGAAGGAACCCTCCTTTAAACCTTAAATCAAAGATATCCCCTGAAGTCTTCTTTAAACCAAACAATAGTTTAGCTTAACTAGTAAAGAATGTCTGCTTTGGGTATTACGTTCTTTTAAGATCTATATGGGATTAAATTGACAGCAGCAACTCGAAAGGTTAGATAGGAAGCTTGGGGGTAGTCAGTTTATGTGAATGGGGAACAACTCAGAAAAGGAGGGTGAGAATGGCTGCACAAGCTGAAGAATGTAATCAACGTCACTGAATTGTACACGAAATTCCTGAATTGGTGTATATTCTGTTATGTATACTTTCAACAACAACAAAAGAATTATTTGACAATATGAAAAAGATGAAGGGACCCTTAACTCACCTCAGTCATAGCTGACTGGGGCCCAGCGCCTGAAGTCCCCTTTTAAGCTCCTCCTTCTTCCCCTCCATGTTTCTGGCTGGTAGGGCTGCAGGAAAGACGAGGGAGCCACGGGAAAGTCTCCCTTCTTCCTATGGTTGACTCCCTCTCCATACTGGATGAGACACTAATGAGTCACAATGTGAGTCTTCCTGCAGGAATCACAAAGACAACTGCATTTATTGAAGCTCCCCTAACCCTACATTTTCATTATGCTTCAGAACCTACAAAGCACCTTCACAACCATTGTTAGCACTTATCACCGTCAGTAAATATAAGTTTGAGGGATTTGCTGATCAACGTCTGTTGCTTCCGCAGGACCTTATCTGTCTGCTCACTGCTGGGTCTTAGCGCCAACACAGTGCCTGGCATACAGTGGGTGCTTTTTATTTATTTATTTTTGGTAATAGATATTACATTTTATTTATTTATTTTATTGTTGTAGTTTAAATGAAGTTTACATTTCAAGTTAGTCTCCCATACAAACATTTATACATACATTCTTATGTGACTGTAATTGCTCTCCCTATACTGTGACAGCACACTCCTCCTTTCCACCTGATTCCCGATGTCCATTCAACCAGCTCCTAACCCTCTCTGCCTTCCCATCTCACCTCTGGACACAAGCTGCCCATTTAATCTCTGTACGTACTAGAGCTAAGAGGCACACTCCTCACGAGCATCACTTTATGTCCCACAGTCCAGTCCAACCTCTGTCTGAAGAGTTGGCCTCGGAAACTGGGCTGATAGAGAATCTGGGTGCCATGCTTTCCAGGGTTGCTCCAATCTCAGTCAGACCATTAAGTCTGGTCTTCTTACTAGAATTTCAGTTCTGCACCCCATCTTTCTCCTGCTCCATCAGGGACTCTCTGTTGTGTTCCCTGTCAGGGCAGTCACCATCTAGTTCTTCTGGTCTCAGGCTGATGAAGTCTCTGGTTTATGTGGCCCTTTCTGTCTCTTGGGCTACTACTTTCCTTGTGTCTTTGGTGTTCATTCTCCTTTACTCCAGGTGGTTGGGACCAATTGATGCATCTTAGATGGCCACTTGCAAGCTTTTATGAATCCAGACACCAGTAGGTGCTTTTTAAACATCTGACAGAACAAATGTGTCTCTCTAAACCCTAAACTGAACCTCTGAACTGAACCCCTACAAAGACCTGAGATTTCCAACTATCATCTCTAGGATTTGAGATGATAGGTGAGTCCATCTTCCAAAACTGTTGCTATTTGTATTACAGCACCATCTCTTCAACTTTTTTTTTTTTTAATCACAATCCACAGTAATGAAGACAACATACATTATGACTCCCACCCACTGCCGTCAAGTCAATTCCAACTCATAGCGACCCCATAGGGTTTCCAAGGCTGTAAATCTCTACGGAAGCAGACTGCCACATTTTTCTTCTACGGAGCTGCTGGTGGTTTTGAACTGCCAACCTTTCAGTTAGCACCTGATTGCTTTAACCACTGCACTACCAGGGCTCCTTATATTATAACTATTCATACACATATATCCATTACTGAAAAAAAAAAGCTTCACGAAACAATGCTCACTCTTACAACTTTACTCTTCCAGCATAGGACGCACTAGGATAGTTTCTATTCTAGTCTGTTTTCTTCTACTTCGTTAAAGCAGTTATAGTTACTGCCCACTGAGTTAATTTCCTGACCCATAATATGCTAAGCACTGTACCACATGGATTTTTTGACGTTTGTATTTACTGTGTACTTTCAATAGCATATATCTGCTGCTAACGTTGAAAGCACTTATCAGACAACCTCAATGAAGCAGCAGGATGACCTTAACAATGAAGAGGTGCTGTCATTGCCATCGTGACTGATTCCATCTCCATGTTATCAGTGTAGAACTGTGCTCCATAAGGTTTTCAATGGCTGAATTTTTGGAAGGAGACTGCCAGGTCTTTCTTCCAAGGTGACTCTGAGTGGACTCGAATCTCCAACCTTTTGGTTAGCATCTGAGCATGTTCATGTTTTGCACTACTCACGGTTGTTGTTGGGTGCTGTTGAGTTGATTTTGACTCACAGCCAACCCTATATGACAGAAGAGAACTGCCCCAGAGGATTCTCTAGCCTGTAAACTTTACGGAAGCAGACTGCCATGTCTTTCTCCCATGGAGCCACTGTGTGGGTTCAAACTGCCAACTTTTAGGTTAGCAGTGAAGCGCTTAACCATTGTGCTACCAGGACTCCTTTGCACCACCCTAAGGACTCCTTAACAACGAATGACACAGGCCCATAATTCTTTAGTCTGAAACCTCTGGGACCAGATGCGGTTTGAAATTCAGAAATTTTCAGACTTTACAAAGGTGACACAGCATAAATACCGTACATTGAAATCAGGGTGGCGCACGTGCAGGTAGCATTTCCTAATTGAACATTTTAATATTTCTAGAGTGAAGTGTATAAACATTCACATTCTGTAGAATAATGAAAGGTTACAGATACCTTATGGGGCCCTAGGGGCACAGTGGTTAAGCGTTCAGCTGCTAACCAAAAAGGCCAGCCATTCGAATCCACCAGCCACTCCTTGGAAACTCTATGGGGCAGTTCTACTCTGTCCTATAGGGTTGCTATAAGTCGGAATTGACTCAATGGCAACAGGTTTAGGTACCTCACAGCAGTTCAGGTCACGTTTAGGTGTCAAATTACGGGGGGGAAAAAAAAAGTTTTGGTTTTCAGAGCTTTCTGGATTTTGTGACTGCAGATAAGGAAATGAGGTAGACCTGAAATAAGTGCTAACATTTACTTAACAATGAGTTTCTTCACATGACAGTGGTTAAAGCTCTAACTTGTGAGTATAATTAAGCCCAAAAAACCCCAAACACCAAACCAGTTGCCATCGAGTTGATTCCAACTCACATGTGCCATATATGTCAGAGTAGAACTGTGCTCCATAGGGATCGCAACAGCTGTGATCTTTTGGAAGCAGATCACCAGGCCTTTCTTCTGAGGTGACGTGGTGGATTCAAACTGCCTACTTCTCAGTTAGCATCTGAGTGTTTAACCACTTGTGGCACACAAGGACTCATGTTTTGTTTGGCCCACACAGTGCTGACTAATAGAATGTTCTGGAAGAAAATTCTTTTCAGTAGCCTCAAACTTGAAAATTGAAAAATTTCACCTAAAAATTAGATTTCCAGCTTTTGAAAAATCCTGGGATTTGGCAACATTGGGCCTGCATTCTCTCAAGGCTAGTTAACTGGAGCCCATTCAAAGCCACCCCCTTAAATGCAGCAAGTGCTCCCCAATGCCCACACACCCTCCCCACCCAGGAAGATTCTCTCCTTTAACTTGTCTGCCTAGCCCTCACAGACTTCTGAGTTTGAGACCCTTGTCTACAATTTCCAAATCACTGTTCTGTCCACATCTCATACATGCTCAGCCCTGAGAGGCAAAGAACTGCGTGTGGCCCTGATGTGAAGAAGCCCAAAGTCGGCAAGCTTAAGTCAGAGAAACTTGAGTCAAAACAATTAGGGGATTGAAAACCTTGGGTACTCAGTTTGGGAGTCTTGCCACTTCTTAGCATAGGACTATAGGTGGATAGATCACTAACAGTCTGTGGGCCTCAGTTTCCAAATGTACAAAATGCGGCAAATACAAAAGAGCCACAGTCACTTATCTGCAATTCCAAAATCCGAAAAGCTCTAATAACCTAACCTTTACTCATAAATTGGCAGCAAAACTTGACCTGAATTGTCACCAGGCTATTTATAATCTTTTTCCCATTCAATGTGACTATTTATATTTTTGCTGCAGAAATATTTGTTTGATTACCAAAAACTGCTCCAGATCCTACTCGGGGTGTGTTAAGTAATTATGAAATACAGATCTTCTAACAGAATGTTTACCCATGGAAGTAGCAGTTAAGAAATCAAACGACATATTGCATTGGACAAATCTGCTGCAAATCTCCTTTAAAGTGTTTAAAAGCAAAGATGTCACCTTGAAGACTAAGGTGCACCTGACCCAAGCCATGACATTTTCAATCACCTCATATGCGTGCAAAAGCTGGACAATGAATAAACAAGACCAAAGAATTGATGCCTTTGAATTTTGGTGTTGGCGAAGAATATTGAACATACCACGGACTGCTCAGAACAAACAAATCTGTTTGGGAAGAAGTACAGCCAGAATGCTCCTTAGAAGCAAGGATGGTGAGACTTTGTCTCATGTATTTTGGACACGTTATCAGGTGGGACCAGTCCCTGGAGGTCATCATGCTTGGCAAAGGAGAGGGTCAGCGGAAAAGAGGAAAACTTTCGAGGAGATGGATTGACACAGTGGCTGCAACAACGGGCTCAAACATAATGATTATGAGGATGGCGCAGGACTGGGCAGTGTTTCGTTCTGTTGTACATAGGGTCGCTATGAGTCAGAACCCAACAACTCGACAGCACCCAACAACAACTTTATAAAATCTGAAAATTCTGATTTCCAGGATGATTCCGGCGCCAAAGGAATCAGATAATGGACTAAGGGCCCGCACTTCAGTTAAAAGAAAAAATGCGAATACAGCGCCTGGCACACACTAAGGGTTCAAACAAGTGTTAATATTCACTGCTATCCCTCCGACCTCCTGAAAAACTATTCATTCTTCAAGACTCCGCCCATCGACTTCAAGTCCCCCTCCTTCAGCCTATTTCCCCAGCCAAAAATAAAATAAAACTCGTTCCTCTCAGGGCTGCCGCTGAGGACTGGAAACCACTGTAGTAAGACGCTGGCCCGTAACAAGCTCTAAACAAGGGTTCAAGATTCCACCAAGACACTTAACCCGAAGGCGACGCGCCTTTTGCTGAAGTCGCCTCACAAGCATTCCCTCACCCGTCAGGAAGGACCGAGTCCCCAACCCTCCAGGGTCCTCAACAGCCCCAGACCAAGCGTCTACGCACCTCAAGATTACCATCCGCCCAGTTAACAGACGCCACCCCAACCCCGAGGGAGCCGAAGACCCAACTCCCCTCTCACTCGCGCCTCCTCGAAGCCGCTTCCGGTGCTGCGCGAATCCCCTCAGAGCTACTCCGCCCAGAATCCTCCGCGCCGGCGCCAAGACTCCATTTCCCAGGAGACTGTGCGGGCGCCTTCTATTGGCTTTCTCTCTCCACGTTTAAAGGCTCCACTGAGTTCTCCAAGAAAAAAAGAGTACGTAGAAACAGCATAAGGACTAGATGGCATTATAGTCCAGTATTTACTTGATTGAAGGACAACCTAATCAGCCTTCTCCTGCCTTTTCCTACAAGACTGTGGCATTTCCATTTCGGAAGTGGACAACCAAAAGGTTGGCATGGAAATGCATAGCTGAGGAAGTCGGATACCAGAAAAGGCGCGTGAATGTGAGGGGCGGAGTTGAGGGAGGAGAAGTGATAGTCTGATTTGATTGGTGGAGACTCCCCCCCCCTTTTAGTGCATTGCTCCTTACCATTGGCTCCACTTTTGCACATGCGCAGTAGAACCAGGCGGTGTTCCAAAGCGGGCGAATGGGAATAGGCGATGAGGGAATAATCCCTCCCCTCGCTTCGAGTCAGGGGGCTGGCCTGTCGCGAAGGCAACTGGGAAATGGAGTTCCCAGGTAAGCACAGACCCTGGGCATTCGGGAAGTCAGCGGCGCCTGCGCGGGCGTCGTCCTGCCTTAGGGCAGAGGATGCGCGCGCAGCGCCTTCGGCCCCGGCGGAAGTTTCCGCGGGGCAACTGAGAAGGTAAGTATCAGGCTCCGTGGAGGGAGGACCCAGGGTCTCTCTGGTCGCATATCCCCGGGCCCCCGCCCCACTGCCCAAGTACAGAGGTGAGGGAAGGCGAGGTGGAACACTAGGAAGTCCTCCCAGACCGCTACCCCGCGGCGCGGCCGTAGTGCCTGTGACCTCAGCACGACCCTTTATGGGAGGTGGAGCACCCGGCAGCAAGGCTCTGGTTGAGAGGCTCCTAGTCACTGAGATAATACGCCCGCGGCTTTTGGCGGTGGGCGTGGCTACGGATGAAGCGGGCGTGGCTTATGGGTTTCGACAAACGCCCCGCCTTGGCAGCTGCGTCATGTCTCATTTTTGTGGAGGGCGGGGCCGACGGCGAGTCGCTGTCACCTAGGCAACCGCCCCTCCCGCGATAAAGCTGCAGTCTAGCCTTTAGCCCTTTTGCTAAGTCTCAGAACTTTCTAGGAGGAGCACAATACTTGACAGTGGCAGATGTTCAGGGAGCCTGGTGGTGCAGTGGTTAAAGCGCTCGCCTGCGGACTAAAAGGTCGGCTGTTCACCTACCAGCCACTCCTCGGGGGAAAGATAAAACGGCATTCTGCTTAGGTAAAGATTGTTGTCCTTGTTAGAGGCTGTGGAGTCCTCCCACTCACACAAACTACAACAGAACGAAACACTGTCTTCTCCTGCGCCATGCTCACATCGTTGTTATGTTTGAGCCCATTGTTACGGCCACTGTGTCAATCCCTCTCTTCAGCCGTCTTCCTCTACTTTACCAAGCATGATGTCCTTCTCCAGGGACTCGTCCAAGGTACCTAAGACGAAGTCTCACGATCCTAGCTTCCAGGGAGCACTCTGGCTGTATTTCTTTCTTTTTTTTTTTTTTAGAACCAGCTGCTAACTGAAAGGTTGGCAGTTTAAATCCACCCAGAGGTACCTCAGAAGAAAGGCCTGGTGGTTTACTTCCAAAAAGTCACAGCCATTCAAAACTTTATGGAGCACAGTTCTACTCTGACACACATGGGGTCAATTTTTTTTTTCTTTTAGTCTGTGTAAGACCCTATGCAACAGACACTGCTATTTATGCTGCTTGTCCAGTGCCAACTCTGACAGGCTGTGCTTATTAAAAAAAAAACAGTGGCCTTGGAGTCAATTCCAACTCATGGCAACCCCGTGTGTGTCAGAGTAGAAGTGTAGTCCATAGGGTTTTCAGTGGCTGATTTTTTGGAAATAGATTCTCAGGCCTTTCTTCCGAGGGTGCTGCTGGGTGGACTCCAACCTCCAGCCTTTTAGTTAGCAGCCAAACACCTTAACCATTTGTACCACCCAGGGATGGTGTCTTAAACCAAAACTCTTTGCCGTCCTAGAGTTTACATTTTGATGATGGTTGAGGATGCCAGACACTAACAAAGTAAAAAGATAAATTGTGTAGTATTTACAGATCTGAAGTTCCTTGTCTATAAATCCAAAATCCAAAAAGTTTTCAGAACCAAACTTTTTTTTTTTTTTTTTGTAACTTATTTGGTGGTAAAATTTCACCTGGCTTTTGAATGCATTTGGTGGCAAAACCCAAGCTGAACTGATGTGCAGCTATTTATAATCTTTAAAGATTTTGCTGCAGAAATAATGTATTTGATGATGGATAGCTGCCCTAGATCCTGCTGGTGGTGTTATGAAATATGTAGTGTGTCTTCTGTGTTATTTTTCAAAAATCTTCAAAATTCTGGACTTTGAAACACACCTGGTGCAGGTGATTAGGAGAGGGAATTGTAAGCCTGTGTTAGATAGCATTAAGTGCTAAGGAGAAAAATAAAGGAGGAAAGGGGGAGAGGGGAGGGTAGCAGAGGGGAGTAGAGGTTGCAGTTTAAATAAGGGGGTCAGGGAAGAACTCTTGAGCTGAGACCTCAAGAATGAAAAAGGAGCCAGCCACAGAGGGAAGTGGTGGGAAGAGCATTCCTGGCAGAGGGAACTGCAAGTACAAAGGTCCTGGGGTAGTGTCTTAGTTATCTAGTGCTACTGTAACAGAAATACAAGTGGGCGGCTTTAACAAACAAATTCATTTTCCCACAATTTAGGAGGTTGGAAGTCTGAATTTAGGGCACTGGCTCTAGGGGAAGGCTCTCTGTTGACTCTGGAGGAAGGTCCTTGTCTCTTTTTAGTTTCTGTTTCCTTGGCAATCATGTTGATCTTCATATGGCATGGAATCTATCTTCCCCTGTCTCTGCTTCCATGCTTCCTTGCTTAATCCACTTTTTTTATACTTCAAAAGATTGATATAAGACATATCCTACACTAATACTGCCTCATTAACATAACAAAGAAAACCCATTCCGAATGGGATAATAACCACAGGTATAGGGGTTAGGGTTTACAGCACATGATTTTGGGGACCCAATTCAATCCATAACAGGTAGGATGTAACTGGCCTTAGGCTACATGACTAGAAGTTAAAATCATTAGAAGAGCTATTTATTGAGTACATAAAACCAGTTGCCAAGTCAGTTCCAAGTCATGGCACCCCATGTGTGTCAGAGTAGAACTGTGCTTCATTGGGTTTTCAATGGCTGCTTTTTCGGAAGCAGATGGCCAGGCTTTTCTTCCCAGGCACCTTTGGGTGAATTTGAACCTCCAACCTTTCGGTTAGCAGCCAAGCACATTCACCATTTGCACCACCCAGGGACATTGAGTGCATACTAGGTACCAAGGTCCTTTAAACTTCACAATAGCCCAAAGGGTAATTGCTTTTTTTAAATCATTTTACAGAGAAGAACAGGTACAGAGATATTAAAAATGTTGCCCAGCATCGCACAGTAAATGACACAACTAGGATTTGAACCCAGGATGATTGGATCCCAAAACCATGCTCTTAATCACTACACTGTCCTGCCTCTAATTGGAAGATCTGCTTTAGAGATTATTCAACTCTGGTGCCCAACTACCATTACTGAACACTTTGATCAAAGATTCTATAGCAGAATCTTGATCAAGGGGGGGAAATACAGAATAGGATTTCAAATTCTCATGGAATCCAGACTTCCTGGAGCCATGAAGGCTGGATGAACCCCCAAAACCGTTGTGCTGAGATCATCTTTAAACCTTAACCCTTCAACCAAGAACATCCCCTGAAGTGTTCTTTAAACCAAACAATAGCTTAATTAGTAAAGATATAAAAGCTGATTAACCAAGCAAGCATAAACGGGGGTTGGGGTGGGGAGGGAAGATAGATGCCATGCCACTTAAAGATCCCCAAGTAATGGAGGAAAAGAAGCTAAAGAGAAACAAGGACTTTCTCCCAGAGCCCTTGAGCATTATCCTTTTTTTTAACAAATTAAATTTTTCACAGTTTAGGAGGCTAGAAGTCCAAATTCAGAGTGCTGGCTCTAGGGGAAGGCTTTTTCTCTCTGTCAGGTCTGAAGGTCCTTATCTCTTTGAGCTTTGAATCATGGGTGATCTTCATGTGGCTTGGCATCTCTCTTCCCCCATGTTTGCTTGCTAGCTTGCGTTAATCTCTGTCTGTTTTTTAAATTTTATTGTGCTTGAGGTGAAAGTTTACAGGGCAAATTAGTTTCTCATTCAAAAACTTACGTGGTAGTTGTTTCATGACATTGGTTGCAATCCCTGCAATGTGTCAGCACTCTTCCTTGTTTATTTTATAGGCCTGTCTAATCTTTCGCTGAAAGATGAACTTCAGGGGTGGCTTCAGTTGTGAGCTAGAAGGGTGTCCAGGGGCCGTAGTCTCAGGGGTTCCTCCAGTCTGTCACACCAGTAAGTCTGGTTTTTTTTTTTTTTGTGAATTTAAATTTTGTTCTAGATTTTTCTCTTGCTCTGTCCAGGACCCTCCATTGTGATCCCTGTCATAGCTGTCAGTGGTGGTAGCCGGCACCATCTAGTTCTTCTGGGGTCAGGCTGGTGGAGGCTGTGGTCCATTAGTCCTTTGGACTAATATTTTCCTTGTATCTTTGGTTTTCTTCATTCTCCTTTGCTCCGGACAGGATGAGACCAGTAGATGTATCTTAGATCGCCACTCACAAGCTTTTAAGACCCCAGACACTACTCACCAAAGTAGGATGTAGAACATTTTATTTATGAACTATGTTATGCCAGTTGATCTGGATGTCCTTGAGACCATGGTCTCCAGCCCTCAGCTCCCTCAGGGAATTTGGGTGTGTCTAGGCAGCTTCTATGACTGTGTCCCGTTTGTGCTCTATTACATACATGAACATACGTGCTGTACATACAAATACGTATGTAAAGATATATACAGCGTAACTTACATACGTACAGGGGTATATTCCTACACGTCCTCCTTTCTCTATTCAGCGTACCTATCTGCCTGTGTATCTGCTTGTAAGTTATTATTTGTTTTAACTGTTGTTGTAGGGTTGTAGATGCTAGTATTTACTGTGGTTGCCTCTTTTTTTTCTTTTTTTTTTTACCTGTGTTCCTCTAAGTGTCTTCCTTTGCCTTGGTCAAGTTGTGCTGACTTCTTCTATATTGTGTATTTTCTTTGCCTTCACCAAAATTAACACTTGTGTATTATCTAGTTAGTGATTCCTGCTCCCCACCCTTCCCCTACCTCATAACCATTAAAGATTGTTTCTTTCTGTATGTAAACATTTTCTTGAGTTTTTATAATAGTGGTCTCATACAGTATTTGTCCTTTTGCAGTTGACTTATTCATTCAGCATACTCCCCTCCAGATTCATCCATGTTGTTAGATGTTTTGCTGATTCTTCATTGTTCTTTATCATTGCATAGTATACCCTTGTGTGTATGTCCCATATTCTGTTTATTCATTCGTTTGGTGGTCACTTAGGTTGTTTCCATCTTTTTGCTATTGTGAATAATGCTGCAGTGAATGTGGGTGTGCGTATATGTCTATTCGTGTGACGGCTTTTATTTCTCTAGGATATATTCTTAGGTGTGGGATTGCTGTATCATATGGTATTTCTATTTCTAGCTTTTTAAGGAGGCATCATATCGTTTTTCATAGTGATTGTACCATTTTACATTCCCACCAGCAGTGTATGAGAGTTTCAGTCTTCCCACAACCTTGCCAGCATTTACTGTTTTCTGAATTTTTAATCAGTGCCATTCTTGCAGGGGTGAGATGGTATCTCATCGTAGTTTTGATTTGCATCTCTTCAATGGCTAATGGGAGCCCTGGTGGCTCAGTGGTTAAAAGCTCGGCTGCTAACCAAAAGGTTGGCAGTTTGAATCCACTGGCTGCTCCTTGGAAACCCTATGGTGCAGTGACCCTATGGGTCACTGTGAGTCGGAATCGACTCAATAGTAATGAGTTTTTAATCTTTACGGAAGCAGACTGCCACATCTTTCTCCTGCAGAGTGGCTGATGGGTCCGAACTGCTGACCTTTCAGTTAACAGCTGAGCGCTCAACCACTGTGCCACCATGCCTCCTGGCAACTAGTAAGGTGCTCAGTAAATGATTGTTGAATGAATGAATGAAAGAAAGCCAGCACATGCTGGCTATATAGCCAATGTGCAGGAAACATTACCCATTATCTTTAACTCATGTGAAACGAGCCCGAGTCAGCCTCTCTACTTCTGTTCATTTACAGGGCACTGTCAAGATGGAATTCCCAGCCTAGTGACCCCAAGGGCCAGACCGTGACAACATAAAGGTATGTATGAGCTTCCCAGGTATAATCTAGCATCAGAACTTGTCTAGATTACCGAGGGATAAAAATCAGGATCAGCACAAAGCTGGTTCCTATGAGATGAAGGTCAGAAATACCTCCACTCTTTAACTTTTTCATCATTTCTGATACCGTCTGTTCCCCTCAGCACTCTATATGTCTCTGCTGGGTTTGATAATTCATTGCGATGGCCACACAGAACTCACAGACCATACTCGCAGTTATGGGGTTTATTAGGGAAGTAACAGGCTACAACTTGGGATCAATATCAACTTTGTCAGTCAGGACAGCTTTCAATCAAGACAGCTCTCAGCTCATTCTCAGCCATGTCAGCCGGCAACCCTTCTCTAGGCCTCTTTCCTGCTCAGGCAAATGTTATAGCTCTTTAGTTCTGCGGACAAGTGCCTGAAGGCAGCCCTCTCCATCAGGAATCCTGCTTGAAAGCACTAGTCTTAGTTATCTAGTGCTGCTAAAACAGAAATACCACAAGTGGATGGCAGCCAAGTGCTTAACCATTGCACAACCCAGGCTCTCATAGGACCTTGTTAACATAACAAAGAAAACCCCATTTTCAAATAGGATTACATCTACAGGTATAGAAGTTAGAATTCCAGCACATATTTTGAGGGACACAATTCAATCCATAACACGTTGTTGTTGTTAGGTGCTGTCAGGTCGGTTTTGACTCATAGCAACCCTGTGCACCACAGAACAAAACACTGCCTGGTGCTGCACCGTGCTCACAATCATTGTAATGCTTGAGCCCATTGCCGCAGCCACTGCGTCAGTCCGTCTTGTTGAGGGTCTTCCTCTTTTTCGCTGACCCTGTGCTTTACCAAGCATGGTGTCCTTCTCCAGGGACTGATCCCTCCTGATAACATGTCCAAAGTATGTAAGATGTAGTCTCGCCATCCTTCTAAGCAGCATTCTGCTTGTACTTCTTCAAAGACAGATTTGTTAATTCTTTTGGCCGTCCATGGTACATTCAGTATTCTTTACCAACACTACAATCAACGGCGTCAATTCTTCGTCGGTCTTCCTTACTCATTGTCCAGCTTTCCTGTGCATATGATGCGATCGAAAATACCATGGCTTGGGTCAGGCGCACCTTAATCTTCAAGGTGACATCTTTGCTTTTCAACACTTTAGAGAGGTCTTTTGCAGCAGAGTTGCCCAATGCAATGTGTCTTTTGATTTCCTGACTGCTGCTTCCATGGGTATTGATTGTGGCTACAAGTAAAATGAAATCCTTAACAACTTCAGTCTTTTCTCCGTTTACCATAATGTTGCTAATTGGTCCAGTTGTGAGGATTTTCGTTTTCTTTATATTGAGGTCTAATCCATACTGAAGTCTGTGGTCTTTGATCTTCACCAGTAAGTGCTTCAAGTCCTTTTCAGTTTCAGCAAGCAAGGTTGTGTCATCTGCATATTGCGGGTTGTTAATGAGTCTTCCTCCAATCTTGATGCCCCATTCTTCATACAGTCCAGCTTCTTGGATTATTTGCTCAGCATACAGATTGAATAGGTATGAAGGATGCAACCCTGACGCACGCCTTTCCTGACTTTAAACCACGCAGTATCCCCTTGTTCTGTCCGAACAACTGCCTTTTGATCTATGTACAGGTTCCTCACGAGCACAATTAAGTGTTCTGGAGTTCCCATTCTTCGCAATGTTATCCATAACACGTAGCCACAACCTAACTGCTGGGGCAGACGGGCAGTGCAGGGAGCATATAGGCATTTGGTGAGCATGACTGTCTCTCATAGTCATCATACAGTTTAAGAAATGAACATCACAAGTACAGCTGAAGACCCTGGGTCCTTCTCCTCAGTGTTGACTCTGTGATTGGCATAGTTCTCCTTTGACTCAGGGCAGCCCATGTCTTTTGTGAGGTCTTCAGTTTCACCATGCCTTTGATCTGCTCTGTGCCTACACTGAACCCCTAGTACAGACAGATGGCTAGAGGTTCAAGGCCAAAACCCAAAAGCAAACCTGCTGCCATCAAGTTGATCCCAACCCATAGCAACCCTAAAAGACAGAGTAGAATGGCCCCATAGGGTTTCTAATGATGTCATCTTTACTGGAGCAGACTGCCATATCTTTCTCCCACAGAGCGACTGGTGGGTTCAAACTGCTGACCTTTTGGTTAGCAGTTGAGCACTTAACCACTGCACCACCAGGGCTCCTTAGAGGCTCAAGGCAGGGAGTGGGAATTCATTGTAGAACTGGCCCATTCCTTAGGGAACGTTTTTTGTTGTTGTTAGTTAACAGTGGATTCAATTCTGACTCATGGCAACTGTGTGTGCAGAATAGAACTGCTCCATAGGGTTTTCAAGGCTGTGACCTTTCAAAAGCAGCTTGCCAGGCTTGTCTTCTGAGGTGCCTCTGGGTGGGTTTGAGCCGCCAACCTTTTGGCTAGTAATCACCCAGGGACTCTCAATGGGGTGCTTTAATAAAGCAACTTGTGGAGAGAAGACTTCTTTAGATGAGGTAGGCAAAAAAACCAAACCAAACATGTTGATGTCGAGTTAATTCTGACTCATGACAAACCGTATACTAGAGAGTAGAACTGATCTCCGTAGAGTTTTCTTGGCTCTCATCTTTAGAGAAGCAGATCCTCAGACTTCTCTGGTGAGACTCTGGGTAAGTTTGAACCACCAATCTTTTGATTAGTAGTCAAGCACTGTTATGGATTGAATTGTGTCCCCCAAAAATATGTATCAACTTTGCTAGGCCATGATTACCAGTATTGTGTGGGTTTCCTCCATTTTGTGATCTGGTGTGATTATCCTATGTGTTGTAAATCCTAATCTCTATGATGTTAATGAGGCAGGATTAGAGGCAGTTACGTTAATGAGACAGGACACAGTCTACAGGATTAGGGAAGAGAGAAGCGAACAGAGAGGAGAGGGACCTCATACCACCGAGAAAGAAGAGCCAGGAGTGGAGTGCATCCTTTGGACCCGGGGTCCCTGCACTGAGAAGCTCCTAGACCAGTGGAAGATTGATGACAAGGACTTTCCCTCAGAGCTGACAGAGAGAGAAAGCCTTCCCCTGGAGCCGACGGCCTGAATTTGGACTTCCAGCCTCCTAAACTGTGAGAGAATAAATTTCTCTTTATTAAAGCCATCCACTTGTGGTATATCTGTTATAGCAGCACTAGATGACTAACAGAAGCGCTTACCCATTTATGCCATCCAGGGACTCCTTTTAGCAAATGTATTCCAGGTGTAATAACTTTTCATCCCTTTCAAATGCATAACTATAGAGAACTTAGGTGATATAAGGGCTTTCTCTGCTCATTGGCAGTGAATTAAGTTTTCGTTTCAGCTTCCTGTTCCCTCCCCTCTCTTCTGTTTGTAGCATGGTCACCTTCTGTCCAGAATGTGGCAAAAGTATCGAATCCACATTCAAATTCTGCCCCTACTGTGGAAAATGTTTGCCTACAGAGGAGCACGGGGGGTCTCCAGCCTTTGTCAAACCACTGACATCATCCTTCCGAGGTAAGAGCCAGGGTTTTGAGCTTGTTCCTGGGGTAGGGCAGGTGCGTGCATGCATGTGTGTCTGGGGAGCTTCCCAGGGCTACTCTAACACAGATACAACAAGTGGGTGGTTTTAAAGAACAGAAAATTGTCTTGTCACAGTTTAGGGGGCTAGAAATCTGAATTCAGGGCACTGGCTCTAGGAGAAGACTCTTTATCTGTTAGCTCTGGGTGGGGTGGCGGGTGGGGGTGGGGGGTGCAGGTGGGGTCCTTGTCTCTTTCAACTTCTGTTTCCCTGATGTTCCTCATTTCCTTGGCAAGCTTCACGTGGTATCCACCTTCCCCTTGTTTGTGCTTCCTTGTCTACGCTGCTCTTTATAACTCAGAAGTGATTAGGTTTATGACACATCCTGCATTGATGTGGCCTCAGTAACATAACAAGCCACTTGATTCTAATTCATGGCACCCCCGTAAGTGTCAGGTCAGAACTATGCTCCATAGGGTTTCTTCTGTGGTGCCTCTGGGTGGATTTGAACCTCCAACCTTTTGGTTAGTAGCCAATCGCAAACCATTTGTGCCATCCAGGGACCTACCAACATAACAAAGAAAATCCCATTTCCAAACAGGATTACCTACACAAATATAGAGGTTAGGATTGCAACACGTATTTTGGGGAGACACATACATAATTGGGCTATGAGTATACGTGGCTAATAAACTCCTGCCAATCTCATTTGTCCAGTGTGGGTGTCTGTGTTCGACCACCTCCTGCTATTTAAGGCGAGGAATCCTTCTTTCACCAACAGGGTGAGTAGAAGGTAGTCAGAGCACACACATCCAGTCCTTCAGCAAATCTTGCCAGCTCTCCCTTCAGAATAAATGCAGAATCTTAAGCCAGAAATATCCCCTGAAGTCTTCTTAAAACCAAACAGTAGTTTAGCTTAACTAGTAAAGATTGTTTTCCTTGGGCATTGTGCTCTTTTAAGAGCTATCTATATGGGATCAAATTGACAACAGCAACTCAAAAGGTTAGATCAGAACCTTAGGGGGCAGTGAATTTATGTTAACGGGAGGAACGATTCAGAAAAAGAAGATGAAAATGGTTGCACACCTTGAAGAAGGTGGTCAATATCACTGAATCGTATGTGTAGAAACTGTTGAATTAGTGTATCTTTTGCTGTGCATATTAATAACAACAACACAAAATAAATTATATTAGAAAATATGTAAGCATTGTGCTCTTTTAAAGAGCTATCTATATGAGATCAAACTGATGACAGCAACTTGGAAAAAAAAAAAGTACGCCTTCCCCATCCATAACCCTCCCTATCCTCCTCCTCTGCTTTATGTTTACTTTTGGTCCTTATTACTAGCGAACATATTAAATATAGTATTGACCTATTTATATTGCTTCTGATCTGTAAGCTCCATAAGGCTAGGAATTTAATGTGTTTTGTAATCTGTGTTTATTGTGGTTTTGTAATCTGGTATTGGCACAGCACCCAGAATAGTGCTTAGCATAGATTGGGTGCTGAGAAATGTTATTGATTAACTGAATGAATGGAGTATCAGTAGTAGGAAATGGAAAGCCCAAGTATAAGTACTACATTGGTAAATCAAAGAGGGTTTATTTGTCTGAAAGACACAGAAGGAAGTTGGCATACATGGCTGAAAGTTCACATACAACATACTAAGTGAAAATGAGTGAGTGGAAAGATAGGGGGAGCCCAGGTCCCTTATGACATCATGGGGACATAATCCCAATACTGGATTGTCCCCTCCAGAATTTTTGTTAGTAAAAAATATAAACCCATTCACTTGTTTAAACTCTTGGTAGTAGCATTTTCTGTTACTTGCAGCCAAATGCAATCCCAAATGATAAAATGAATGTCGCTGAGCCCTCAGTCTGGTATACCAACTTCTTTTTGGTATCTCCTGGGAATTCCTAACCCAAAACTCATATTCTTACCAGTTTGGAACAAGAATTCATACTGATCTGTGTGGCCCCCCTAAAAAACACCCAGGCTGAAAATTTAGTTTCAGTTGATGAGGTTGTTGTCACCACACCCCTGACAAATCTTCTCTTTAGCAACACCCTTTAAAGACAGACCTCAGAGAATTCCTACAGGCAGACTTCCAAGGAACATCTGCTCCTAATAAAAAATCAACAGTGACACCAGGAAGCAAGTCGTTATGAGAGTCAGCAGAAACAACAAACTGCAGAATCAGGCCTGCAAAGACCACCAAAAAACCTATCGCCATCGAATTGATTCTGACTCTGAAATTACTAAATCAGAATATTTAGAGAGTACATTTAATGTGTTTGAAGAAATTGTAAGTACAGTAAAGGTACAAAAGTTAGTTAGAATTGACCTGGCAGATTTGAAAAAGAATCAAGTCAAACCTCTAATGATGAAAAATATAGTCATTTCAATTAGAAACTCAATGGATGGCTTTAAACAGCACACTAGACACAGCTGAAGGAAGAATTAGTGAACTGGACAATAGATCTGAAGAAGTTACTGGGAAGAGAGCACAGAATGACAGAATAATGGAAGAAGATATAAAAGAGAGGCTAAGACACAAAGGGAAGACAATAACTAAAAGGAAGGAATAGTTTGCTTATTTAGATGGTAGAAGAAGCACGATTTGACTGTGAAGGCTGAGGAGATGAGAGTAGTTGAATGTGACCTCAAGGTTTCTGTTTTGATGGTGCCTGGGAAGGGTCTGTGTGACTCCAGTCTGTATTTGTTCTACCTTTTTCTAGGCTCCAGGAGAGATCTGAACTCCAGTTCTGAAATCTCTTGCAAGAAGGTGAAATGGTCCAGCTCTGTCATCTCTCCCCCATCATCTCTCTTCTCAGACAGTGACAATTCTGAGTCTGAAGAGTTCTTGAGTCCATCTGAGAGGCCCAAAGGTACGAGTTGGGGGTCAGTCTGGCCTGACTCCAGATAGGAAGAAGGATGCCACAACCCAAATCAAACATCATCCACCCCTGCCTCTACCCTCATCCCAGCACCTTCCCTGGCCTCCCAGCCTCCAGTCCCCCTTTGTAGTCTGTCACTCATGGCCCCAGGGATCTTTGCTCACAGTTCCCTACTGTTCTCATCGCCCCACAGTTCAAGCTCTTCAGCCTGGCATCTGAGATCCTTACCATTTTAAACCTCACCACAACCCTATGCACAGAGCACTCAGTGTTTGGAGATACTTTTTGGGAGTTTCAGCTTCCGGTCTTGACTACACCTGTTCCCTCTGCCCAGGACTTTCCCATCTCCCTTCTTCGTCTGCCACTTTTCCAACACTCAAAGGATCCAATTTCTGGGAAGCCTTTCTTGAGTGCCATAGGCTTGCACAAGGCCTCCTCTTCTTCCTCCAGAGCCTCTCTTCAACTTCCCTCCGAGCCTCTGAGCCTTTGTACTTGTTGTTCCCTCTGTCTGGGTAGTTCTTCCCACATCTGTCTCCCTTCACTTCTTTCAGGTCTTTATTCTGTTGTTACCTTCTCAGCAAGGCCCTCCCTGACATCCGTAACTAAAAATGTATCTCCTCTACCCACAACATTCCCTACGTCCCTCTCTTGCTGTGTATTGCCTCTTTGTCCTTATTGGTAGCAAGCATATCAAATACGGTATTTTACCAATATATAGTCCTTCTTGTCTGTAAGCTCCATAAGGCCGGGAATTTATCATGTTTTGTGACCTGTATTTATTGTTGTTTTGTAATCTGTTGGCAGAGCAAGGAGACCTGGTGGTGCAACGATCAAGCTCCCGGCTGCTAACTGAAAGGTTGGCAGTTCAGATCCACCACTGCTCTGCAGGAAGAAGACCTGGCCAATCTCCCATAAAGATAAAACCAAAAAAACAAAAACCATTGCCGTTTGATTCTGACTCATAGCACCCCTGTAGGACAGAGTAGAACTGCCCCACAGGGTTTCCAAGATTGTAAATCTTTACGGAAGCAGACAGCCACATCTTTCTCCCACAGAGCGGCTGGTGGGTTCGAACTGCCAACTTCTCAGTTAGCAGCTGAGTGCTTAAACACTGCGCCACCAGGGCTCCTTCCCCCATAAATATTACCCTGTGGGGCAGTTTTGCTGTGTCACATGGGGTCCCCATAAGTCTAAATTGACTTGACGGCACCCAGAACTGTGCTTAGCACAGAGCTGAGTACTGAAAAATATTGTTGAATAACTGAATGGATGGAATATCATTTTGTCTGGGTTCCCACTGTGCCTGCCACCACCCTCATGTGAGCCCATGTCTCCCTCTAGGCTCCACGTCCCTTTCTGCCTCACTTTCTGGACTGGGAGTCTCTCGTCGGCAGGGACCAGGTATGACTCACTTGTATACGCCCCACGCCCAGCCAGTTCCCAGGACATGGGGGGCTTAAGGAATGCGTGCACCCATCTCTCTTCTGCCAGACCCCTTGGTCTGAAGTCACAGCCCTTGGTGCTTCCCCTTTGCCCCCTCGTTACCCTTCAGATGCCAGAGGCCTCCTCCCATTCTGTGCCTTGAGCGGACCAGTGGGTGGGAGGAAGGTAAGAGGTTAAGGTTATCTTTTCTTCTGTCCATGTCCATCTCCTCACAACACTCACCTCAGTCTCTTGCCAGTCTGGGAGCCCTTTAAGGGCAAGACCTCAGTCTAATGAAGTCTGGGCCCTCATATTCTGTACAGGGCCAGGTCCACAAGATGTTTCAGGTGGGGTTTTTTTTTTCTGTATTGTGAAAATATACATAATTTCTTAGTTATCTAGGGCTGCTGTAATTAGAAATACAAGTGGATGGTTTTAACAAACAGACACAGTTTAGGAGGCTGGAAGTCCGAATTCACGGCACTGGCTCTAGGGGAAGGCTTTCTATCTCTGTTGATTCTTGGGGAAGGTCTTTGTCTCCTTTCAGTATCTGTGGGCCAGTGTTTCTTAGAGATCTCCATGTGTCTTGGCATCAGTCTTCCCCTGGGCCTAGGAGGTTCTCAGTGCAGGGACCCTGGGTCCGAAGAACACGCTTCACCCCCAGCTCTTCTTTCTTGGTAGTAGTGAGGTCCCTACCATCTCTGCTCGCTTCTCTCTCCTTTTATCTCTTGTAAGATAAAAAGTGTGACTCAGGTAAGGTTGTGACTTGAGTGTAAAGTTGTGGCTTGAGTCACACCTTCTTACCCTTTTGTAAACCTGTGATTCAAGATACAGGCCACACTCTTCCTGCCTCATTAACATACAGAAGTTAGGATTTACAACACATCACAAAGTGGAAGATAATTATATCACATCACAAAATGTAGGGCAGCCACACAACACTGGGAATCATGGCCTAGCCAAGTTGACACAGATTCTGGGGGGACACAGTTCAGTTCATGACACGTAACAAAACATATGCCATCTTGACAATTTCTTCATGTACAATTCAGTGACATTGATTGCATTCTTCAAGTTGTACAAGCATTCTCACTGCCCTTGTCCAAATCATTTCACCACTATTAACATAAGCTCAATGTCAGAGTGTTTTTGGTTAAATGTGTGGATTGTCCTTTTGCCCCCTAATAAATTTCTACTCAGAGTCCCTGGGTGGTGCAAATGTTAGGTGCTCAACTCCTAGCCAAAAGATTGGCGGCTTGATCCTACCCAGAGACACTTCAGGAGACAGGCCTGACAGTCTGCTTCAGAAAGGTCACAGCCTTGAAAATCCTATGGAGCACAACCCTATTCTGCAGTCATGGGGTTGCCATGAGTCGGAGTCGACTCAACGGCAACTAGCAACAGCAACATCAAACTTCTACTCATCCAGTAAGGCCCAACCCAAATGTCCCCTCATCCAGGAAGCCTCCCCTGACTTCTCCAGGCATAGTCAGTCTCTTTCTCCTCTGTGTCCCCATATCCTTCTGGACTGCCCTGCCTCAGGCTCAAATCTGACTGGCTGGGTCCAGGTCTGACTCCCACCAGACCTGGGGCTCCCAAGGGAAGGTTCTGGGTTTGACTCCTGTCTGGGTCCTCAGCATCATTCTGCAAAGGACCTGGCCTGGCCCATAGAAGGTCCCAGGAAGCATTTGTCGAATGAATGAACAAATGAATGAATGAATGGTATTCCAATCACTGGCTTATCCCCACCTGACTCCTCTCTCCCATATGCTTTTTATTCATTAGTCCATCCTCCTGCAGGGAGCCGGAACAAACCCCCGACCCCCAAAGGCAGCCCACAGACTGCCCGGCGAAGCCCCCAGACCCTGAAGCGGAGCCAGGTGACCATCTCACTCGAGGCCCTGCCCATGGGGACAGTGCTGATAGACAAGAGTGGGCAGCACTGGAAGCTGGGATCTCTCCAGACCAGGGATGACCAGGGCATTCTCTATGAAGGTGCACTTTGTCCCCAGGTGGGCGGGTGCTGGGCTGGGTCAGGCTGTTTCGGGGCTAGAGCAGGGAGACGGGGATTCTAAGCTGCTGACCTGCCTCTAGGCAGCCTTCTCTTAGACCTGAGATTGCAAACCTATCACCTATAGGGGCCAGGCAGGTAGTATAAATGAGTACAGGAGGCTGGAGTAAGGTGATTGGGAGTGGTGGGGACTGCGGCCAAATGGAGAGCATGTGCCCTCTTTACACAGGGCACTGTTTTTCAGCTCAACCTACTGTTGCTAGGGGGGCATGTGGGCCCAGAGTGGCCACATGATAAGGACAGTGATGATTGTTGTGGCCACCCTACAGAGACAGGATAGACCTCAAAATTTGGTATTTGAGACTGATGATATCGTACAAACATACACCAACAGGATCTGGAAAGGTTTATTACTTATATAATCGAGGTCTCTGGGAAGAGCAGGGCAGGCTGCCTGAGCAGATTTGAAATGGCTTGAGAGAACAGGCAAAGGAGGCTGGTTTGGGGCTTTTATTGTGGTTAGGGCCTGGGGCTGGGATGAGGTTTCCCGTGTGGGCATGGCGCATGTTGTTGTTGTGTGCTGTCGAGTCGATTCCAACTCATAGTGACCCCATGTGACAGAGTAGAACTGCCTTATAGGGCTTCCTAGGCTGTAATCTTCACGGGAGCAGATTGCCAGGTCTTTTCTCCCGTGGAGCATCTGGTCGGTTTGAACCACCAACCTTTTCGTTAGCAGCCAAGTGCTTAACCACTGTGCCACCGGGGCTCCTGGACAGGGGCTTACGTGGTTTGAATCTCCCACCAGCACCAAAAGAGGGAGCTCCCTGGCTTTCTTAGGTTTCCAGATGTGGGGCAGAAGGGGGAGAGGAAGGGGTGAGATTTAAAAGCTGTCAGGAAAACGGACAAACCTGTCAGCAGTTAAACGTCAAAAAACGAGGTCCAACTCTTTATTACAATGAAAAAATGATAACCGTGTTGGTAGTGTTAGTATTAATAATACTTAATGTTTATTAATAGGGGCAGTGGTGGGTCAGTAGTAGAATTCTTGTCTTCCATGTGGGAGACCTGGGTTCAGTTCCCAGCCAAGGCACCTCACGTGCAGCTACCACACATCTATCAGTGGTGGTTTTTGTGTTGTTATGATGCTGAACAGGTTTCAGCAGAGCTTTCAGACTAAGACCAACTAGGAAGAAAGGCCTGGCAATCTATATATATATAGGCAAATGGGTATAGCTGGTAGGTTTGGGGGCCCCCAAGACCACCCCCAGGTTCAGTAAATCTGGCAGGACTCAGCATATAGGTGAATGCACATCTGATTTAGTACAGGGAAAGAATACAAAGCAAAGTCAGCAAAGGGAAAAGGCACATGGAGCGAAGTGTGGGGGAAACCAAGAGCAAGCTTCCCGTGTCCTCTCCCCGTGGAGTCAGACGGGATGTGCTTAATTCCCAGAGCAACAAGTTCTGAGAGCACATGTGAAATGTTGTCCACAAGGGAAGCTCATTAGAAACTCAGTGCCCCCAGTTTTTATTGGGGGCTGGTCATGTTGGCACCCTCTTTGCCTTAGTTATCTAGTGCTGCAATAACAGAAATACCACAAGTGAATGGCTTTAACAAACAGAGATTTATTCTCTCACAGTCTAGTAGGCTAAAAGTCTGAATTCAGGGTGCCAGTTCCAGGGGAAGTCTTTTTCCATTGACTCTGGGGGAAGGTCCTTGTCGTTAATCTTCCTCTGCTCTAGGAACTTTTCAGGTGCAGAGACCCTGGGTCCAAAGAATGTGCTCTGTTCCTGGTGCTGCTTTCTTGGTGGCATGAGGTCCCTGTGTCTTTCTGCTTGCTTCTCTCTTTTATATTTCGGAGAGATTAACTTAAGACACAACCTGATCTTGTAGATTGAGTTCTGCCTCATTAACATAACTGCCTCTGATTGTGCCTCATTAACATCATAGAGGCAGGATTTACAACACACAGGAAAAATCACATCAGATGACAGAATGGTGGACAGTCACACAATATGGGGAATCACGGTCTAGCCAAATTGACAGATATTTTGGGAGGACACAGTTCAATCCATGACATTCTACCTGGCATGTACCCAAACTCCAGATTCCCGCAAGGAAAGCAGGTGTTTTTCAGTATAAACCACGTTGTTTGTCCGAACAGTCTAGGCACAGTGAGCCACTCTTACCAGTTAGAGAATGGAGGGAACTTCCATCTCATGGGCCAGGGTGGCTGCTCCAGCTCCCATTGTCACATCTGCATTCCAGCCACTTTGCAAGCTAGCCTCTCAAAGGAAGCCTGCTATGTGAACTCTTCTCTGCGTGGCTGAATATTGAGAAAGAGAGAGAGAAGGGGGGAAGAGGAGGAGGAGGAGGAAAGAAAAACAAGGTTGAGAGGTGGGTAGGGTGATTTGGAAAGAAATTGGGGAGCAGGGTAGGAGGAAAAGGGGCAAGGAGAATGTGAGCGTGAGAGAGACAGAGGGAGAAAAACAGAGACAAGGAAGGAGGGGAGTGGAGAGAGAGGAAAGAGGAGGAGGAAGAACAAAGAACCTATTTGAAAGCAGGACAGCTGAAGGAAGGAGCAGATCTTGAAAGCCAAGGATGCACTTGACCCTGAGGAATTGGGGCTCCATAGCCACTCCTCCTTCCTAGGAAGTTGGAGGCCGAGGGCCCTGGCCGCCCTGCAGATGATAGTGTAACTGACCATACCCATTTGTCTATGTGTATATTGCTAGGCCTTTCCTCCTTGTCTGTCTGGGGCTTTGTAACCACTCCTCCTTCCTATGAAGTGGGCGGATGAGGCCTCCAGCCGCCGCGGTACAGGTGATAACTTCACTGGCTCTGTTCTCCCACAGCTGAGCCTGACTCCGCCCCTGCCTCGGCCTTCACCTGCGAGTCGAGTCCCCAGAAACAAAGATTCTCACTCAAACTAGTGAGTGGGTCCCTGGAGGTGGGGGGTGGACAGCACAAAAGGGAGGGCCTGGGGCTTTGGCAAACACACCTTCATGTCTGAGCCCCTCTGAGGGCGGGGGCGGATGGGAGAACATGGCCCGGGGTCGGGCCCATCTTGGCCTCTTGGTTAAGTTTCCTTGAGCAGCTGTTACCAAACTCCACAAACTGGGTGGCTTAAAACGACAGAAATGGATCATCTCACAGTTCCGGAGGGTTGTTGTTATGTTGTCAGTTGCCATCAAGTCAGCTTCAACTTATGGTGACCTTATTAATAACAGAATGAAATGTTGCCCAGTCTTGTGCCATCTTCATTATGATTGGTATGTGTGAGTTCATTGTGTCTATTGTGTCAGTCCATCTCGTTGAGGGTTTGTTTCCCTCATTTTTGCTGACCCTGTTCTTTACCAACCGTGATGTCCTTTTCTAGCAATTGGACTCTCCTAACAACTTGTCCAAAGTAAGCCAGCCAAAGTCTCACCATTTTCTAGAGGGTAAAAGTGTGAATTCAGGGTATCAGCAGGGCCATGTTTTCTCCAAAGGTTCTAGGGGTAGATCCTTCCTTGTCTCTCAGCTCCTGGTAGCCCCAGGTGTTCCTTGGCTTGTGGCTGCAGCATCACTCCAGTCTCCGCCTCTGTTGTCACACGGCCGTCTTCCCTCTGTGTGCCTCTCTTTGTCTCTCCTCTGTTATAAAGACACCAGTCATATTGGATTAGCACCCACTTTATTCCGGCATGACCTCATGTTAACTGATAACATCGGAAAGACCCTATTTCCAAACAAGGTCACATTCACAGGTGTCTGGGGTTAGGACTTCAGTATATCTTTGTGGGAAACACAATTCAGCCCACCACACACACCCATAGGTAGTGCTAACTGTGCTCTCAAGGACCACTCTGAGCTCGTGTACAGCACATCAACTCTCCAGTCCTCACAGCAGTCCTCTGGTGCCATTGCTGTTACAAGCCCGTTGGACAGAGGAGGAAACCAAGACACAAATATTTAGTTTGGCTGCTATTAAAAAAAAGTGACTCAATATTAATAATGGCTTAAGCAAAATAATATTTCTCTTTCACTTAAAAGTCTGGGCCACTTGAGCATTGTGCTCTTTTAAGAACCGTCTGTATGGGATCAAAGAGACAACAGCAACTTGAAAGGTTAGAGAAGAAACTTACGGGGTAGTGAGTTCATGTTAATGGAGGAGGAGTAACTCAGAAAAGGAGGGTGAGAATGGTTGCACAACTTGAAGAATGTAATCAGTGTCCCTGAATCGTACATGGAGAAATTTTTGAATTGTGTATGTTTTGCTGTGTACATTTTCAACAACAAAAATAAAATATAGTAAAACCTGTGAAAGCTGGAACCTGTGTAAGGTGGAAACCTGTCAGAGAAGGAAAACTCAAACATTTTCCACTAATATGAGTGAAGGAAAAGTGGTAAGACTGCACGCTATTAAAGGCAGAAAACTTGCAAGACCCAGAAAAACAAGGCAGTCCCGTTGAGTTCTAGCTCTGACAGGTTTCACTGCATTTTTTAAAAAAAGGTCTGGGGCACATCTCGATTCAGACTAGCCACATTTCATAGTTTCAGACTTAATAGCCTAATGTGGCCAGTGGCTACTCCGTTGGCCAGCACAGGTATAGAGCGTAAGTTTAAGCCTGATTTTGTTTTTCTTTGTGGGAACCTATTTTTTTTTTCTGCTTTGAAGGATATTTTTTATATTAAAAAATTAAATTTAACTAGGATATGTTTAGGTCTTAATTTATCTTTGCTATGGTTCAATTCTTTTAACACCGAAAACGTTTTCTTCTCGTGTGTCTTTGGTGATTGCTTTGGTTCTATTCTTGTTTTTTCTTTAGAAGCACTAATTATTTGTATATTGTATCTCCATTATCTCTATTGCTTGTCATTTCTCTGTCACTGTTCCATCTCTTTGTTTTTTTCCTTTGCATTCTGGGGAATTTTTAAACAATTTATTGTCGAGAATATACACAGCAAAACATATACCAGTTCAACAATTTCTACATGTACAATTCAGTGACATGGATTACACTCTTCAAGTTGTGCAACCGTTCTCACCCTCCTTTTCCGAATTGTTCCTCCCTCATTAGCATACTCTCACCGCCCCCTAAGTTTCCTGTCTAATCTTTCGAGTTACTGTTGTCAGTTCTTCCATATAGATAGTTCTTTTTTTTTTTTCCCCCTTGTGCTTTAGGTGAAAGTTTACAGAGCAAATTATTTTATCATTCAAAAGTTTATACACTAATTGTTTCCCGGTATTAGTTGCAATACCGGCAGTGTGTCAGCACTCTCCGCTCCAGGTTCCCCATTTCCATTCATCCATTTTTGGTGTCTCTTCCTGTGTTCTGATCTTTGCTTTTGGGCAGTTGTTGCGCATTTCATCTCATGTACTTGACTGATCTAAGAAGCATGTTCTTCACATGTATTATTGTTTGTTTTATAGGCCTGTCTAATCTTTGGCTGAAAGGTGAACTTTGAGAGTGGCTTCAGTTCTGAGTTAGAAGAGTGTCTTGGATCCATAGTCTTAGGGTTTCTCCAGTTTCTGTCAGACCAGTAAGTCTGAGCTTTTTTGTGAATTTGAATTTTGTTTTACATTTTTCTCCCATTCTGTCTGGGACCCTCTATTGTGATCCCTATCAGAGTGGTCAGTGGTGGTAGCCGGGCACCATCTAGTTTTTCTGGGCTCAGGTTGGTGGAGGCTGTGGTTCATGTGGTCCATTAGTCCTTTGGACTAATATTTTCCTTGTGTCTTTGGTTTTCTTCATTCTCCTTTGCTCTGAATGGGATGGGACCAGTAGATATATCTTAGATGGCCACTCGTAAGCTTTTAAAACCCCAGATGCTACTTACCAAAGTAGGATATAGAACATTTTCTTTATGAACTATGTTATGCTAGTAGATCTAGATGTTCCCTGAGACCATGGTCCTCAGCCCTCATCCCTAGTAACTTGGTTCCTCAAGGTGGTTGGATGTGTCTAGGAAGCTTCTATGACTTTGCCTTGGTTGAGCTGTGCTGACTTCCCTTATATTGTGTGTTGTCTTTCCCTTCACCAAAGTTAACACTTGTCTACTATCTAGTTAGTGATTTCCTCTGGGGAAAGTTATAAAATTTTTCCTCCGTGCCTTAGTCAGGGTTCTCTAGAGGAACAGAACCAGTGAGATAGATTTATAGAGAGAGAGAATGATTTACTTCAAGGGATTGCTCACAAATTTGTGGGAGGCTGACAAGTCCCGAAAACCAGTAGGGCAGGCAGCAGGTAGAAACTTCTGCAGGCTTGCGTCCCAAGATCCATAGGTCAGGCGAAGAGTTCAGAGTGGAGAGGGAGAGAGCAAGTTCTGCCAAAGTATCTATAATCTGAAGGCAGAACACATGCTAAGGAAACTCTTTTCAGCTTAATGATTACATTCAACTATATTATAGCAGGTCATTATGTTAGAGTGCATTGTAGAACAGCAGCTAGTCTAGTATCTGTCAAAACCACTGGGAACCATAGCCTAGCCAAGTTGACACTTAAAATTAACCATCACACTCCACTGCTTACATTTGTCTGCACTGTGATTTCTTATTTTCATAGATTTCTAATGAAGACTAAAGTATTATAGTTTTTCCTTATCCAGCCTTCTTTTTATTTCTGCCTGCCTCTCAGCCAAACTGGCTCCTTTTCTTTCTAAATCTTCTGGGCTGGTATGGTGGTTCCATAAATAAGGGGCCCAGTTTTCTTCTGTCTTGTTGCTTCTACCCATAACTTCCATCTTGTGGACCAGGGTGGCTCCTCCAGCTCTCTGTCACATCTGCATTCCAGCCATCTGGAACAGAAGGAGAAGGGGAGAGCCTGCCTCAGCCTTTTAGGGACATAACCATATCCGCTCACATCCTGCCTTACTTATCTAGTGCTGCTATAATGAAGTGGGTGGCTTTAGCAAATAGAAATGTATTTTCTCACAGGTTAGGTGGCTAGAAGTCTGAAATTAGAGCGCCGGCTCTAGAGGAAGGCTCTCTCTGTCGCTCTGGGGGAAGATGCTTGTCTCTTTAGCTTTTATTCCTTGCCTCCTTTGTGATTGTTATGTGGCATGGCATCTGTCGTCCCCCATCTCTGCTTCCTTGCTTAATCTCCTCCAGGAGCCCTAATGGCACAGTGGTTAAGTGCTTGGCTGCTGTCTGAAAGGTCTGCGGTTCAAACCTACCAACCTCTCCGCAGGAGAAAGATGTGGCAGTCTACTTCCATCAGAATTACAGCCTTGGAAACCCTATGGAGCAGCTCTCCTCTGTCCTGTAGGATCGCTATGAGTCAGAATTGACTCAATGGCAATGATTTTTTTCTTTATATCTCAGAAGAGATTGACTGAACACACACCTTACACTAATGTTGTCTCATTAACGTAACAAACAAAAAACATTCCCAAATGGGATTCTAACCATGGGTCTAGGGGTTAGGATTTACAACACATATTTTTGGGGGACACAGTTCAATCTGTAGCACATCCCCATTGGCCAAACTTGTCATGTGATCATACCTTGCTGCAAAGGAGACTGGGAAATGCAGTTTTTCATTGATGTGTCTGGGAAACACTTGTGGATTCTGTTATAAAAGAAAGAAGGGGAGCCTGGGTACTGGGAGACAACTCGCAGTTCATGATAATATGTCACATGCAGCACCCTGGGGAGTTTAGTTCTGATGTGGGGGACTTGATGGTGAACCTGGGTCGTTGCTGGCATTGCCCTGGTGAGTGATACACAGACAGTGATGCTTGGGGGCTCTTGTCTAAGAGAGTCCAGTATGACAGCCTTCTCTCCCTCCTTTCCCCACCAGGATGCCAAGGATGGGCGTTTGTTCAATGAGCAGAACTTTTTCCAACGAGCTGCCAAGCCTCTGCAAGGTATTCTTCAGGAAACTGGCAAGGAGGGAGAGAGGCTGGGTGCCAGTTTGGAAGGGACAGCCAGCCACTCTCTGGGGCTATGGGAAGGGCGGGGACCTGAGGTTCAGATTTGTGTCCTATCTGTGCCCACAACCTGGCTCCTGTCATTCCTTAGGCCTCTGGCATCTGAGGACAAACAGTGAATGCTGGGGCCAGCTCATACCAGCTCTTTTTGTTTGTTTTAACATGGTGAAAATATACACACCAAAACATTTGCCAACACAGCAACTTCCACATTTACAATTCAGTGACATTGATTACATTTTCCATGTTGTGCCACCATCCTTGCTATCCTTTTCCAAAATATTCCACCACTATTAACAGTATTTTACACAAATAACACACACCTTCTCTATTTGTTTGCCAACTGCGCGCTCTCCCCACAAGGTATTTTTGTGAGCACACTATGTTAATTTTTTTTACAGCAACATATATAAAACAAATAGGCATAGCAGCGCTTATGAAAATACCTTGCTGGGAAAGGACACGGTTGGCAAACAAATGTAGAAGGTGTTTGTTATTTGCATAAAAATACGGTAATATAAACTCAATGTCCCCCAAACAAAAACTCCCTCTCTGCCCCTCCCTCCTACCCCAGAAACCATCAATTATCTTTGGTTTCTATGTATTTTCTTATTTCATGTAAGTGAGATCATGTAGTAATTGCCCTTTTGTGACTGGCTTGTTTTCCTCTATACGTTTTCAGTGTTCGTTCATGTTGTAGCATGTATCAGTACTTCATTTCTCTTTATGACTGAATAACATTTCATTGAATAGATAGACCATGTTTTGTTTATTTATTCATCTGTTGATGGACATTTTGGTTGTTTCCACTTCCAACCAGTTTTTGACAGTCAATTTTCGGGAATGTTGCAAGCCAGTAATTAAACACAACCATAATTAAAAATTAAATTGTGTATACAAACAGACACCTCATGGGATTTGGTTCCTTGGTTTGGAGGTTTAAGTCATGGTTTTGTGGGGCTTCCCAGTTAATTGGCCTAATAATGTGTTTAGTGCTTCTGTTTACCTCCTAGTTCATTGTGTAGTACCTGGGGCCTTAAAAGCTTGCAGGCAGCCATCCAAGGCACAACAGTTGGTCTCTATTTGTCTAGAGCAACAGAGAAAGAAGGAGAGTCAGAAATAGGAGGAGGAAATGGAATGTTTGGCTAATTGCCTCTGTGAACAAGTGCCTCCTTTGCCATGAGAGCAGAAGAACTGGATGGTGCCTGGCTACCATTACGGAACATTTTGATCAAAGATTCCATAGAAGAATCCTGATCAAAAGGGGGAAATTGTAGAACAGAGTTTCAAATTTGCATGGACTCTAGACTTTCTGGAGCCATCGAGGGTGGATGAACCCTGGAAACTATTGCCCTGAGATAATCTTTAAACCTTAAACCAAAAATATCCCCTGAGTCTTATTGAAACTAAACAGTAGTTTAACTAGTAAAAAATGTCTGCCTTGAGCATTATGCTATTTTAAGAACTATGTATATGGGATCAAGTTAACAACAACTGGAAAGATTAAATAAGAACCTTAGGGGGCAGTGAGTTTATGTTAATGGAGGAGAAACAACTCAGAGAAGGCAGGTAAGAATGGTTTCACAACTTGAAGAATGTAATCAATGTCACTGAATTGTTCATGTAGAAATTGTTGAATTGGTGTGTGTTTTGCTGTGCATATTCTGAACAGCAACAACAGAATAAATTTTAAAAATAATAAAAAGACCACAAAAAGATTAAATTGTATAAACTTGCAGTCAAATAAATTATATTAAAAACAAAGGTAATGCATTCTCAAAGCTCATCGTGTCCTAATTATTTTAGTACATTTTCTGTTATCTGTGCTCCTGAGGTTATTTGCATTAACTGTGTTTATGTGATTTGCTGCTGTTGTTGATGGGTGCCATGGAGTGGATTCTGACTCACACAGATCCCATGTGACAGAGTAGAACTGTCCCATAGGGTTTACTAGGCTGTAATCTTTACAGCCACTGGGTTGGTTCAAACCGCCAACCTTTCGGTCAACAGCTGAGCGCTTAACCATTGGCCCACCCGGACTCTTTAACTTATATGGTAGAAATACTACATAATAGTGGGCTACTGTGCTTCTCTTCCCAACTCCACAATCAGTGGTATCACATCAGTAACTTGAAATTGCCCGTGGTGGGACGTCTTTAGACCTCCCTGGGTGGCACAGACTGTTTGCACTCAACTACTAACCTAAAGGTTGGTGGTCCAAGCCCGTCCAGCAGCAGCGTGGAAAGAAGACCCTGGTAATCGGCTTCCGTAATAATTACAGCCAAGAAAACCCTGTGCAGCACAGTTCTACTCTGTCACATGTGGGGCCACTCATGAGTCGGAATCACTGGATGGCAATGTTTTTTGTTTTTATTTTTATTTTTGGGAGGGGGCAGTATTACATGACGTAATTTGGCAAGCACTAACAACCAGGGAAGTTTTTCCCTAGACAGCCACTTGTTAAACTTTTGTCAGGATACCCCTGGCTGTGTACCACCTCACTGAGTGCCTGGAAGGTGGGCAGGTCAAATTACAGTGACACCGTGGCCTGGGTAGACATTTATTGATCTGAGTAGCTGTGCATGTGAATTCAGGCATTATTCTACCATCTTGTCCCTTCCACTCCAGATTTGCTTATGCTTTCTCAGATGCCACCTGTGTTCACCCGTCACCTGCAGACATGGGTTCCAGACAATTCAAGGGTCATCTACTCTATCCTGTCTCCACCCTCCTTTCACTGTCACCACCCCCCCAAAGAGAGGTAGTCTCCCACAAGGAGACTCAAGGGTTGGGTCACGTCTGGGGTTGGGCACTCTACTTCTGGTTCGTGTGTACCTGGGGTAGGTGAACCCTAACCTCTCAAGCCCCTGCTTTCTGCAGTGAACAAGTGGAAGAAGCTGTACTCCACCCCTCTTCTGGCCATCCCTACCTGTGTTGGCTTTGGTGTCCACCAGGACAAGTATAGGTGAGCTGCCCCCATTGCCACCCACCCCGTCCCTTGTCCTTCTCCCTTGTCTTGTGCCCTGCATGGCTGGGCCCCTGGAGCCACTGGCCGGTTAGTTTCTTCCCTCCTTTCACCCTAGTTTGGAGACGGGTTGGTGACCAGCTATCTTAGTTTCTTAGTGCCGATGTATCACAGATACCACAAATCGGTAGCTTTAATGAACAGGAATTAATTTTTTTCACAGTTTAGGAGGCTAGAATTCAGGGTGCCAGCTTGAGGGGAAGGCTGTCTGTCTGCCCTGGGGGAAATCCTTGTTTCTTTCAGCTTCTCTTCCTCAATTCCTTGGTCATTTCCACTTGGCATCAATCTTTTCCCATTTGTGTTTACTTCTATGTCTCATCTGCTCTTTTGTATCTCAAAAGTGATTGGGTTAAGACAGACCCTACAGTGATATGTCCTACTTAACATAAAGAAACCCCTATTCCCAAATGGGATTATATCCCTGAGTATGTTGTGTTGTTTTATCTCTTGAGTAGATTCTATCCCTTGAGTAGATTCTGACTCGTGGTGAGCCCATGTGACAGAGTAGAACTGCCCCATAGGGTTCCTAGGCCGTGATCTTTACAGGAGCAGATCGGCAGGTCTTTCTCCCTCGGAGCCACTATGTGGGTTCAAACCACTGACCTTTCTTTTAGCAGCTCAGTGCTTAATGACTGCACCACCAGGGCTCCTCTCTGTGAGTATAGGGGTGTCTTAGTCATCTAGTGCTGCTCTAACAGAAATACCATAAGTGGGTGGTTTTAACTAACGAATTTATTTTCTCACAGTTTAAGAAGCTAGAAGTCAGCATTCAGGGTGCCAGCTCTAGGGGAAGGCTTTCTCTCTCTGTTGGCTCCGGGATGGTCCTCATCTCTTTTCAGCTTCTGTTCTTTGGCTCCTTGGTGATCTTCACGTGACATCTGTCCTCCCCTATCTCTGCTTGCTTGTCTCTGTGCCTAATCAGCTTTTTTCCTATTTCAAAGGCAATTGGCTTAAAACACACCCTACACTGACATGACCTCTTAACATAGCGAAGAAAACCCATTCCCAAATGGGATTATAACCAAAGGTATAACCCATTGCCGTGGAGTCCATTCTGACTCATAGCAACCCTATAGGATAGAATAAAACTGCTCCATAGAGTTTCCAAGGTTGTAATCTTTACAGAAGCAGATGGCTACATCTTTTCTTCCTTGGAGCGGCTGGTGGGTTCAAACTGCCGACCTTTCAGTTAGCAGCCGAGCACTTAACCACTGTACCACCAGGGCTTCTTCAAAACCACAGATATGGGGGTTAGGATTTACAGCACATATTTTGGAGGACAAATTCAATCCATAACACCAGCTAACCAGAACCCTTCTTCATTCCACCTGGGACTAGAGCCTTCTAGCGGCCCAGGTGGCCTATGTTCCTCCCCTTCCCCATTCATCTCTCCTACCCTTGGGTGGGCTCAGCCCTGGCCTTGCCCTGCCCGATTCAGGCCTCATGTCCTCCAGGTTCATGGTGTTCCCCAGGCTGGGTAGGAGCCTCCAGTCGGTCCTGGATGACCACCCGAAGCACATCATACCAGAGAGGTCCGTGTTCCAGGTGGCCTGCCGGCTGGTACGTACACACCTACCCAGCTCTTGCACTGGGTATGGTGCTTCCAATCCCAGTCTCTCAGTCTGTGTGTTGGTTAACTGACAGTTCTTGGTGCTCGCTGAGTGTGCACGCAGGGCAATCGCTAGAGTCCTGTCTTAGTTACCTAGTGCTGCTGCTGCTGTTGTTAGTTGCTGTCAGGTCGATTCTGACTCATAGCAACCGTATGTGACAGAGTAGAACTGCCCCATAGGGTTTCCAAGGCTGTAATCTTTGCAGAAGCAGACTGCCACATCTTTCTCTCGTGGAGTGGCTGGTGGACTCAAATCACTGACCTTTCGGTTAGCAGCCGAGTGTGTAACTGCTGTGCCACCAGGGCTCCTTTATCTGTGCTGCTGTAACAGAAATACCGCAGGTGGGTTCCTTTAACAGAAATTTATCTTCGTACAGTTTAGGAGGCTAGAAGTCCGGATTCAGGAAGCTGGGTCTAGGGGAAGGGTTTCTCTCTCTTTCGGCCCTGGGGGAAGGTCCTTGTCTGTTTTCAGCTTCTGTTCCTCAGTTCCTTGGTGATCTTCATGTGGTGTGTGTCTTCCCCATGTTTGTGCTTCCTGCTCTGTGCCTGTTGTTGCTGTTGTGTGCCATCAAGGTGATTCTGACTCATAGCGACCCCATATGACAGAGTAGAACCGACCCACAGGGTTTTCTAGGCTGCAAATTTACAGGAGCAGTTCACTAGGTCTTTCTCCTGCAGAACTGCTGGGTAGGTTTAAACCACCAACCTTTCAGTTAGCTACTGAGTGCTTTAGGGTTGGACCACAAGGGCTCCTTCTCTACCTAATCTGCTTTTATCTGTCAAAGGTGATTGGCTTAAGACACACCCTACAGTGATATGGCATCACTAATCTAACAAAGGAAGTCCTTTTCCCAAATGAGATTACATCCATGGGTGTAGAGGTTTAGGATTTACAACACCTATTATGGGGGGAAGGAGCCCTGGTGGCACAGTGGTTAAGTGCTTGTCTGCTAACCGAAAGGTCGGTGATTTGAACCCACCAGCTGCTCCGTGGGAGAAAGATGTGACAGTCTGCTTCTGTTAAGATTACAGTCTTGGAAGCCTTAAGGGGCAGTTCTGCCATGTCCTTACAGGGTCACTGTGAGTTGGAATTGACGGCAACAGCTTTATTGTTTTTGGGGAACACAGATTAATCCGTAAGAAGGCTGTTACAGTCATCCTGTTGGCATGGTGGTGGCTTGGGCTAGGACAGGAGCTGTGTGGATGTAAGAAGTGTGTGCTGAGATGTACAGGAGATGAACTGGACATGGGCTGTGAGGCAGAGGAAGGGAACAGAGGTGACTTCCAGTTTTACCTGATCTGTGGTCGTGGTCGAACTATTTACTGAGATGGGGAAGACAAAGAGAATAAGAAGTTTGGAAGTGAAAATCTAGAATTCTGACTTGAATATTTTAGGTTTGAAATGACTTCTTGATGTTTAGGTAGAGCTAACACCTAGGCAGTTCAATATACGAGTCCCTGGGTGGCTCACACAGTTAAGTGCTTGACTACTAGTTAAAAGGTTGGCAGGTCAGACCCACCCAGAGGTGCCTCAAAAGACAGGCCTGCTGGGCGATCTTTTTCCGAAAGGTCACAGCATTGAAAACTATGGAGCACAGTTCTACTCTGCACATATGGGGTTACCATGAGCCAGAATTGATTTGAGGGCAACTAGCAAGAAGTTCAATATATGAGTCTGGTGCTCAGTGGAAAAGTCAGAGCTGGAGATAAAAATATAAATTGCTGAACTAAATTTATTTCTGCTTGCTGTGTTACTTTTTTTTTTTTTTTTTTTTTGCGGAGAGGGGAGATAAATAATCCTCTTCACCTCCTGACTTTGCCATCAACTAAGAGATAGATACAGAGGGTAGACAGAAAACCAACTGGGCGCTTTAGTGCTGTCATAGTGGGCTTCCTAATGCTTCACTGAGAACTTCTCTGACTTATCCTCCCAGTTATAGGCAGCACCATATGACCCCAGGGCTAACAGTGGGAGTTCCTACACCAGGCTTTGCATCAGAGTATCTTTGAGTTAGTCTTCCTACTCATTAGATGCTTTCTTCTTTCTTCCTCCAGCTGGATGCCCTGGAGTACCTCCATGAAAATGAATACGTTCATGGAAACGTGACGGCTGAGAATATCTTTGTGAATCCAGACGACCTGACCCAAGTAAGAGCCAGGTCCTCCCAACCTTGGGGCCCTCCGGGCTCAGATTCCCACCTATCCCAAAGCCTCGATCTATTTTACAATGTTTATTGCAGACAAAGAATTGATATCCATCATACATAAAGAGTGCCTTCAAATAAATAAGAAAAAATAAGCAACTTAGTAAAAAAAGGATAGGAAAAGCTGTTCATTGGAAAAGAAACCCACAAGTTAGTCAAGTGTATGAAAAGGTGCTCAGTCTGCGTATAATCATAGAAATACAAATAAAAATGAGATACTATTTTTCACCTCTTGGATAGGCAAAATTAAGAAGAATGATAATATTGATTGCTGGTAAGGATGTAAGGGAACAGGTGTTATATACACTGCTGATGGAAGTGTAGCTTGGGCAACTTTTCTGAAGACTAACTTGGCACTAGCAATCAAAATTTTAAATGCATCTGTTTTTTGGTCCACCAGTTCCTCTTTTAGGAATTTATTCTATCCATATATTCATAGGACTATTCAAAGGTATATGTACAAGGTATTCCTGACAACATTGTAATAGGAAAATGAAAAACACTTTAAATGTATTGTCCCAGTAGGATACTGACTAATGTTTCAAAGTTAATTCTAATTATATTAGTCAGGACTCTTTTAGTTGCAAATGACAGAAACCCAGATTAACATGGCTTAAGCAAAAAAATGGGGGAGAGGGGTATAATTTCTTGGTTCATGGAATGGAAAAACCCAGGGCTTGACTGGCTTCAGATGTAGCTGGACCTAGGAACTCAAATCCTATCATTGGGAAGCCAGCTTTTCCGTCTTTGGGCTGTTTTTGTTTGTGTGCTGCTCATTGTCAGACAGACTCTCTTCCCTCATGGTGATGAAATTGACATGAGCCAAAAAAAAAAAAAAAAGTTGCCATGGAGTTGACTCCAATTAATGGCAACCCTTTTTGTGCCAGAGTAAAACTGTGCTCTGTAGGGTTTTCAGTGACTGATTTTTCAGAAGTAGATCACCAGGCCTTTCTTCCAAGGTACCTTTGGGAAGTCCCAAACCGCCAACCTTTCCATTAGCAGCCTAGTACATTAACCGTTTGCACCATCTGGGAAAAAAAGATCCCAGCAAAGTCAAGCTTAGATTCCATCAACTCAGCAATCCCGGTGAAAACATCAGGTGAGCCTCACCTGCATTGCACAGGCTGAGATTTAGGGGTGATCCTATAACTGGGTATGGAAGAAGGGGGCGTAGGTCTCACACAGACAAAATCAACACTTGTCTCCTAGCTGTGTGGTAGAATAGATGCAACCACTAAAAAGAAGAAGATATAGTTAGCTTTGTTTATTATCTGGCAGAGCAACACTTTAATTTTTGTTTTGAACTCATTAAAACCTCCAAACCTGTGAGATGGGGACTATTATCATAATTTTACAGATGGGGAAACCAAAGCACAGAGACATTTCCTAACTTGCCTGAGGTTGTACAGCCACTAAGGGTAGAGCTGGAGGAGTCCTTGGGTGGCTCAAACGGTTAAGCACTCGGCTACTAATTGTAAGGTTGGCAGTTCAACCCACCCGGAGACGCCTCAGAAGAAAGGCCTGGGGATCTACTTCTGAAAGGTCACAGCCTTGAAAACCCTACGGAGCAGTTCTACTCTGCATTCACTGAGTCAGAATCAACTTGATAGCAACTAACAGCAGCAGCAACATTAGTGGATTACTTCTAGATGGTGAGTTTAGGAAGCAATAGGGAGGGAGGGTCTGGGACTTCTTGCTTCACACCCTTCTGTACTGTTTGACCTTTTTGCTATGAGCATGTCTTAATTTTATAATTTAAAAATATGTCATCTGTCATGGGTAGGTTGTTTCAAATTGCGTCCTCAATTGAAGTCTCTGGCTCCAGAGTCCCACCCAGCTCCTAACCTGCAAACCGTGTGGCTTCTCTCCACATCCACAGGTGACCCTGGTGGGCTACGGCTTCGCCTTCCGCTACTCTCCAGGTGGCAAGCACGTGGCCTATGTTGAAGGCAGCAAGAGCCTACATGAGGGGGACCTTGAGTTCATTAGCGTGGACCTACACAAGGGATGCGGTAAGAGCCAGAAGAGGGCTCGGGTTCAGGACCATGGACATGTGCTCCTCACTCAAGGGCAGCTCTAGGGGTTCACAGGGGTCCTTGGGTGGCCCAAATGTTAACACACTTGGCTGCTAACCAAAAGGTTGGTGGATCGAGTCTGCCAGAGGTGCCTTGGAAGAAAGGCCTGGTGATCTCCTTTGGAAAAGTCACCCATTGAAAACCCTATGGAGCACAGTTCTACTCTGACACACATGGGGTCACTGTGAGTTGGAATCATCTTGAGGGCAAAAAAAGAAAAAGAATAGGGAGTTCAAAACCGTGGACAGCAGATGGCCAGCCACAGGAGAGACTGTTAGTACCCTAGGACTGCTATAGCAAAACATTACAGGCAGGTGGCTTATTAGGACAGAAATTTATTGTTTCACTGTTCTGGAGGCTAGGAGTACAAACTTAAGGGCTGGCACGATCATGCTGTCTCTGAAGGCTCTAGGGGAGGGTCCTTTCTTGTCTCTCCTGGCTTCTGGTCACCCCAGACATTCCTTTGCTTGTAGATGCATCTTCACATGGCCATTTCCCCTCTTTCTGTCTCTCTGTGCCTTGTGTTTTACAAGGACACCACTCATGTTGGATTATGATCCACCCTACCCCAGTGTGACCTCATATTAACTATTAACATATTCAAAGAGCTTATTTCCAAACAAGGTCACGTTCATAAGTACTGGGGTTAGGACTTCAACCTATCTTTTCGGGCAGTCCCTAGGTGGCACAAGTGGTTAAACGTTCGGCCGCTAACTGAAAGGTCAGTGATTTGAACCCATCTGCTGCTCCAACGGAGAAAGATGTGGTACTCTGCTTCCATAAACATTATACAGCCCTTGAAACTCTGAGGCAGTTCTACGCTGCCCTATAGGTCTCTAGGAGTTAGAATTGACTCGTAGGGTACGGGGTTTGTTTGGATAGCTCAGTGGTTCAGCACTGTGGACAGCAGTTAGCCATTTTAGAGGGAAGTGCTAGGACGGGATTCAGCACCATGGACAGCAAGTACCTGGACACAAAGGGAAGCTCTGCAGCTCCGAGGTGGGGATGCAGGATCCAGGGCAGACTTGGAGGATGAGAGTTGCTCCAGACTCACCTGGGAGGTGCTGTTGTGGAGGCAGTTGGCTCCCCATATCTGGAGTAGAGGAGGGAAGTCAGGCCTGGAGGCTCAGCTCTTGGTGTGTCTCAACAATTGTCAGCTGACACCCTCGGAGAGATTATCTAGAGAAAGAGCATGGAGAGAGAACTTAGGGCAGATTCCTTGAGGAGGCCTCAGCCCCACAGACACAGATTGCTTTATATTACAACCACCTTTGTGTTGAGTCACTCCAGCCTCTCAGGAAAAGCAGTTTAGACTTGTAGAAAGTTTGGAGATCACATGCAGATTCATCACTGTCCCAAATTCAAACCTGGAGGTAAGGGTGGTCACAGGGCCAGTAATAATTGTTTTATCTGTACAATCTACCTGGTTGGACACATTTTAGCTTTATTCATTAAAGAGCCGAAGTTCCTGTCTTAACAAATATGTACATATGTTTCTTATGTGGCCAGTGCCTATTTATGTAAAAAGGTGAAGGAATAGGATGTGGTGATTAATTGAGTATTCTGGAAATGAATTTACTACATTCAGCACACTAAATGGAACGTCCACTTTTCATTACAATGCACAAACTAGGCTACCAGGAACAGCCTGTAATCTCTCATGACTTGGGGACACATCTGAGTCTTCTCCTCCCGCCAGTGTGCCCCACCAAGAATCAGTCATCATTGCTCAGTGTTGTGGGCCTGGGAGGTTGGCCTGAAACCGTCTGATCTCTATAGAAGAATCCTGATCAGAAGGAGAAAATGGCAGAACAGAATTTCAATTGTCCTTGGAATCCAGACTTTCTGGAGCCATGGAGGCTATGTGAACCCCTGAAACTCTTGCCCTGAGATATTCTTTAAACCTTAATCCCCTGAAGTCATCTTAAAACCAAACAGTGGTTTAGCTAAACTAGTAAAGAATATCTGCCTTGAACATTGTGCTCTTTCAAGAGCTGTCTATATGGGACCAAGTTGACAACAGCAACTCGAAAGGTTAGATAGGAAGCATAGAGGGCAGTGAGTTTATGTTAATGGGGGATCAACAACTTGGAAAAGGAGAGTAAGAATGGTTGCACAGCTTGAAGAATGTAATCAATGTCACTGAATTGTACGTGTAGAAACTTGGTGTGTGTTCTGCTCTGTGTATTCTCAACAACAAAAATAAATAAAAAGAAAAAAAAGTCTTATGCTGTGAGGCAGCCATTTGTTGACTTCTCATCTGTCTTTTCTGCCAAAAAACCTGGTCAGAATTGGATGGAGAGAAACCTTCACTACTGTATTGCTCCTGTTGTTGAGACAGCATCAGGACTGACAACTGTATCTTAGATGATGACTCAGTGTGGGCTTCCTTCACGCTTCCCTTTGTGTGTTTGTGAATCTGTGAGTGCACAGGGTGGCTCAGGCCTCCCACTTCAACTACAAGCAGGATAGCAGCTCGGAGCCCATCTCTGTTGAGGTGGGTCCATGATGCCATTTTTTTTTTTTTTTTTTAAATATTGTGATTTCAGTGAAGGTTTACACAGCAGTTTAGGTTCATTTAACAATTTCTACACAAAGCTGTTCAGCGACATTGGTTACATTCTTCACAATGTTGTGAACATCCTCATTGTTTCTGTTCTGGTTGTTCTTTTTCCATTTATCTAGTTTCCCTGGCCCCTGCTCATCTTGGTTTTAAAGTAATTTTTGACCGTTTGGTCATATAGAGGATTTTTTAAGGGGGCACAGTACTTACAGGTGATATTCTTTATTTTGTGAACCAATTTGTTATTTAGCTAAAAGGTGAGCTCAGGGGCTAGTTTCAGTTCAAGATTTATTTAAAGAGAATCTCAGGGAAATAGTCTCAGGGAATCCTTCAGTCTCAACTGGTCCAGTAAATCTTTTTTTCAAAGAATTTGAGGTTCTGTTCCACATTTTATCCCATTCTATCAGAATCTATCTACTGTGGGTCCATGGCACAATCTTTGCTCCTGTTTTGCTCTCGTTCCAGTATTACATCTAATAAAGCCTAGTGCTTCTCTAATAATATTACATAAAAACAAAAAACTCATCCATGTGCCTGTCCATGTCCCCCCACCAGATTGGGCTCCCTGAAGGCAGGGGCAGTGTCTGTGCCTCCAGCATCCCTTGACAGAAGGCCTGGCTCAGTCAACTGTCAGTGTTTGTCAAACGCTTACGGGAGGAGTTGTCTGAATGTTGTGACTAAGATGCTCAAGGAAAATGAAGACCCTGTCAGTCTCTGTCTTGGTTTTCTATTGCTGCTTTAATAGAAGTACCACAAGTGCGTGGCTTTAACAAATAGAAATTTATTTTCTCACAGTTTCAGGAAGCTGGAAGTCCAAATTCAGGTCACCGGTTCTGGGGGAAGGCTCTGTATCTCTGTTGGCTCTGTGGGAAGGTTCTTGTCCTTCAGGTTCTGTTTCTTGCCTCCTTGGTGATCTTCATGTGACATGGTGTCTTATCTTCCCTGATCTCTGCTTGCTTGTTTAATCTCTTTTATTTCTCAAAAGAGATTAACTCAAGACACACACTACGCTATACTGTTTCATTAACATAACAAAGAAAACTCATTCCCAAAGGGGATTGTAACCACAGGTGTAAACCAAACCCACTGCCGTCCAGTCGATTCCGGCTCATAATGACCCTATAGGACAGAGTAGAACTGCCCCATAGGGTTTCCAAGTTTGTAATCTTTACAAAAACATACTGCCACATCTTTCTCCCTCGAAGCAGCTGGTGGGTTTGAACTGCCAACCTTTCAGTTAGCAGTCAAGCTCTTAACCACTGCACCACCAGGGCTCAACCCATTGCCGTTGAATCGATTCTGACTCATGGCTGGTGGATTCGAACTGCTGACCTTGCAGTTAGCAGCCAAGCTCTTAACCATTGTGCCACCTCGGCTCCTTAACCAGAGGTATAGGGGTTAGTAATTATAACACATATTTTTGGGGCCACAATTGAAGCCATAAAGTCTCCTCTGCCTGACTCGACTAGGCTGGGCTCCGTGTCCTCCTTGAGCTCCCTCACGGCCTATTCTGTCTCCTCTGTAGCTCAGGTCAGCCCATATACCAGGACCATCTTCTCCACTCAGCCATTGTCTTAGTTACCCAGTGCTGCTGTGTTAGGGATTGAGTTGTGTTCCTGCAAAATGTACTGTAAATCCTAAACCCCATACCTGTGGATGTAATACCATTTGGCAATGGAGTTTTCTTTGTCATGTTAATGAGACCATATCTGTGTAGGATGCATCTTAAGCCACTCACCTTTGAGATAAAAAAAAGAGCAGATTAGGCACAGAGAAGGAAGCGCAAAGGGAGGGGAAGATACATCTCACATGAAGATAGCTGAAAAGAGACAAGGACCTTCCCCAAGAAACCACAGAGAGAGAGCCTTCCTCTAGAGCTGGTGTCCTGAATTTGAACTTCTAGCCTCCTGAACTGTGAGAAAATAAATTACTGTTCTTTAAATCCACCCACTTGTGGTATTTCTGTTACAGCAGCACTAGAAAAATAAGACACGCTATAATGCAAATACCACAAGGTGTGGCTCTCTCTCTGTCAGCTCTGAGGGAAGATCCTTGTCTCAGCTTCCGTAGTCTCTGAGTTCCTCAGTTCCTTGGCGATCTCCATGTGGCATCTCTTCTGCGTTTGTGCTTGCTTGTCTCTATGTCAAAAGTCACTATGTTTAAGACACACCCTACATGGATATGACCTCATTAACATAAAGAAAACTGTATCCCCAGATGGGATCACATCCACAGGTTTAAAACCCCATAACCCATCGCCGTCGAGTTAATGCTGTCTAATAGCATCTCTACAGGACAGAGTAGAACTGCCCCAGGGGGTTCAAAGGCTGAAATCTTCACGGAAGTAGACTGCCATATCTTTCTCCCGTGGAGCAGCTGGTGTGTTTGAACTGCCAACCTTTTGTTTAACAGTGGACAGCTTAACCACTGTGCCACCAGGGCTCGCATCCACAGATATAGGAGTCAGGAATCCAACACATATTTTTGAGGGACACAGTTCAATCCATAGCAACTGGCAAGGGCTGGGACCTAACCAAATGCTTGTCTGGGTTTGCAGAATGAAGGATGGGGCCTGGCACAGTGGGCATCAAGGAATCATTGAAAGAGTGAGTGTATGAAATGAAAGACTGAAAGGATGAGAGAGTGAGTTAGGGAGAGAGTGGGTAAAGAAAGGGTGGGGAGAGTGAACAGGAGTCATTGAGACAATGAGAAAGCTGAGAATGTTGTAGGGTGCCATCAAGTCGATACCGACTCATAATGACCTCGTGTCATGGATTGAATAATGTCCCCCAGAAATATACGTCTACCTGGCTAGGCCGTGATTCCCAGTATTGTGTGGTTGTCCTTTGTTTTCTGATCTGATCTAATTGTCCTACCCGTTGCTGTCGAATCAATTCTGACTCATAGCGACCCTATAGGACAGAGTAGAACCGCCCCATAGAGTTTCCAAGGAGCGCCTGCTGGATTCAAAGTGCCAATGTTTTGGTTAGCAACCATAGCTCTTAACTACTATGCTGCCAGGGTTTCCATAATTGTCCTATATGTTGTGAATCTTAATCTCTGCCTATGGTTAATGAGGCAAGATTAAGTTATGTTAAAGAGGATTAGGGTGGGATGCAGCACCCTTAACTCAGGTCATAGCCCAGATCCTATGAAAGGGGAATTTCCCTAGGGTGTGGCCTGCATCACCTTTTATCTTACAAGAGATAAAAAAGAAGCAGGCAGAGAGATAGGAACCTCATACCACCAAGAATGAAGAGCCAGGAGCGGAGCTTGCATGTCCTTTGGACCCAGGTTCCCTACACTGAGAAGTTTCCTCTATTGAGGAAGATTGATGACAAGGACCTTCCCCCAGAGCCAACAGAGAAAGACTTCCTATGGAGCTGAAACCCTGAATTTGGACTTCTAACTTCCTAGACTGCGAGAGAATAAATTTCTGTTTTTTAAAGCCATCCATTGTGGTATTTCTGTTATAGCAGCACTAGATAATTAAGATACCATGTGACAGAGTTGAACTGCCCCATAGGATTTCCTAGGCTATAATCTTTACAGGAGCTGATCGCCAGGTCTTTCTCTCAAGGAGCCGCTGGGTGGGTTAGAACCACCAGCCTTTTGGTTAGCAGCTGAGTGCCTCACCGTTTTGCCATCAGGGTAATTGGAAAATGAAGGGATGGGTGAGACAGGCCATGCGTTTGGATGGTTGAGGGTATGCGTGCATGGCTGAGAGATAGATGGAGTCAGGAGGGTGTGGACATGTCAGTGAGTGGAGGGTCTGACTGAGCCACCTCCCCTCCCTCCCCAGGGCCCTCCCGCCGCAGCGACCTCCAGACCCTGGGCTACTGCATGCTCAAGTGGCTCTACGGGTGCCTGCCATGGACAAACTGCCTCCCCAACACCAATAGCATCATGCAGCTGAAGGAGAAGTGAGTCTGGGGGCCAACAGGTGGGGTGGAAGCTCAGAACCCGATAGGAAGGAGGGGGTGGCGGCCCTCAGATGCGCGCTCTGCTGTCCAGGCCAGTGGATGAGGCCGTGGGCCCTGGAGCCGCACCACCTGGGATCAGCTTCCAGCCCAGAGGGTCCTTGATCCCGGCGGGGTGGTGCCCTCCTCCGTGAGAGGGGATCCTGTCAGCACCCACCTCCTGGGGATGTGGGATGATCCAGAGAGGCGGGCACACCTGACACTTAGCACAGAGTCTGCCCAGAGGAAGTGCTCAGTGTGCTCAGGATGCCGGGACTCACTGGTTCTTAGGCGCAAGGAGGAGAGCAGGTCAGGCCGGGCCCTGCCTCAGCCAGTGCCACCAACCAGTCAGTGTCCACGCTTCGAACGGTCAGTGCTGTCTCAGTCTGGGTTTTCTAAAAAAAGCAGAATCAGTGAAACATATATAAAGGTAGTCCCTGACTTATGATGGAGCTCTGTTCCGATGACTCTGTCCTAAGTTGGTATAAGCCAGGTACCTCAGGGTTTTTTAGGTTTTCATTATTATTGCTTTTATTAGCAATTATTTTCATTATTATTGCCTTTATAAATTCAGTCTTTGTCTCTGGGGGTTGGAAACATTACATATAAACTTAGATATATTTTAACACATACCTACTATAAAAAACACACAAATCATAAATATTTACTCTGATGATGAAGAAGAGTTGGGCGATGTTGGCATTTTGTCAGTTGCAGAAGGTTGTGGGAGGTTCTGGATCATCTGGATATTCCCTGGGAATGGGGATGGCATTTCTAGTGAGAAAATTAGTGAGAGTTGTTTTTATGGTCCTTTTCTTTTTTCCTTCATATATTTCACGGTAACATCTCACTACTTCCCAAACCTGCCCGCTGACTTCAGCAAAGTGATCAGCATCCAGGTGCATATTTTCAAGCAACTGAAGCCGCTGATTTAGTTTAGAAAACTAAATCTATATGGCATTGTTTTGAACGGTAAATCATAAAATTGAACAATTGAGAGTGAACATGGTAACATCAGCAAATTACACACTGCAACATTGTATGTAGTACATATTACTAATGATAAGATGTAGAATAAACAGATGGTTGTAAGTGTGGTTTGTCATAACTCAAATACGTCTTATGTCAGGGACTACTTGTACACTAAAACCTGTGAAAGCCAGAACCTGCGTAAGGTAGAAACCTGTGAGAGAAGGAAAACGCAAATATTTTCTACTAATAGTGATAGAAAAGTGGTAAAACTATACCCCATCAAAGGCAGAAAACTCACTAGACCCGTAAAAACAAGGCATTCCCATCAAGTTATGGCTCTCACAGGTTTCACTATATAAATATACAGGGAGAGATTTACTTCCAGGAAATGGCTTACACAGTTGTGGGGGCTGGTACATCCCAAATTCATGGGTTCAGCCACAGGCTGGAGACCTCGGCTGGCTCATGGGGTTGTGTGGGTTGGCAAATCCAAGATCTGCAGGTTAGGCAGCAGGCTGGAAACGTCTGCAGGCTTCCGTCCCGAGAACCAGAGATCAGGCAACAAGAAGAGTGCAGGGTTGAGAAAGAGTGAGCTTTGCTAGAACATCCATTTTTATACTGGAGGCAGGCCACACCTCCAAGGAAACTCCCCTTCTGTTTTAGTTATCTAGTGCTGCTATAACAGAAATACTGCAATTGGATGGCTTTAAAAAAACCAAAATCTATTCTCTGATAGTCTAGGTGGCTAGAAGTCCATATTCAGGGTGCCAGCTCCAGGAGAAGGCTTTCTGTCTCTGTCAGCTCTGGGGGAAGGTCCTTGTCATCAATCTTCCTTTGGTCTAGGAGCTTTTCAGGGCAGGGACCCTGCATCCAGAGGACACACTTTGCTCCTGGCTCTTCTTTCTTGGTGGTAGGTGGTCCCTCTCCTCTCTTTTAGATTGATTCCTCTTTTATATGTCAAAAGAGATTGACTTAAGATAAAACCTAATCCTGTAGATTGAGTCCTGCCTCATTAGCATAACTGCCTCTAATTCTGCCTCATTAACATCACAGAGGTTAGGATTTACAACACGGGATGATCACATCAGATCACAAAATGATGAATAACCAGACAGTACTGGGAATCATGGCCTACCCAAGTTAACACACATTTTTAGGGGACACATTTCAAACCATAACACCTCCGAACTAATCGGCTGCTCGCATCAGATCACAAAATGGAAGGTGATTACATAGTGTCTGCCGAACCACTAAGAATCATAGCCTAGCCAAGTTGATACAGAATGTTGTTGTGTGCTGTCAAGTTGATTCTGACTCGTAGTGACCCTATGTGACAGAGTAGAACTGCCCAATAGGGTTTCCTAGGCTGTAATCTTTATGGGAGCAAATTGCCAGGTCTTTTCTCCTGAGAAGTTGCTAGTAGGTTTCAACTGCAGACCTTTCAGTTAGCAGTGGAGTGCTTAACCAACCTCCTACCAAGGCTCCTGCATATAACTCACGTACACACAAACCCATAGCTGTCAAGATGATTCTGACTCATAAGGAATCTATAGGACAGAGTCGAACTGCCCCACAGGGTTTCTTAGGCTGTAATCAAGGACATCATACAAAAAATCATTAAAAAGACAGGAAAGAAAGGAAAGACCAAAATGAATGTCAGAAGAGACCCTGAAACTTGCTGTTGAACATAAAATAACTAAAGCGAATGGGAGAAGTGATGAAGTAAAAGAACTGAACAGAAGATTTCAAAGGGCAGCTTGAGAAGACAAACTAAAGTATTATAATTAAATGTGCAATGACCTGGAGTTAGAAAACCAAAAGGGAAGAACATGATTGGCATTTCTCCAGCTGAAAGAACCTAAAAAAGAATTCAAGCCTGGAGTTGCAATATTGAAGGGTTCTGTTGGCAAAAAAATTGAATGATGCAGGAAGCATCAAAAGCAGATGGCAGGAATACACAGAATCACTGTACCAAAAAGAAGTGGTCAGCATTCAGCCATTTCAGTAAGTAGCATATGATCAAGAACCGATAGTATCGAAGGCAATCCAAGCTGCACGGAAGGCACGAGCGAAAAACAAGGCTCCAGGAATTGAAGGAATATCGGTTGAGATGTTCCATCAAACGAATGCAGCACTGGAGGTGCTCAGTCGTCTGTGCCAAGAAATTTGGAAGACAGTTACCTGGTCAGCCAACTGGAAGAGATTCATATTTGTGCCCATTCCAAAGAAAGATGATCTAACAGAGTGCAGAAATTATCGAACAATATTGTTATTTTTCACAAGTAAAATCTTGCTGAAGATAGTTCAAAAATGATTGCAGGAGTACATTGGCAGGGAGCTGCCAGAAATTCAAGCCAGCTTCAGAAGAGGATGTGGAATGAGGGGTGTCATTGCTGATTTCAGATGAATCTTAGCTGAAAGCAGAGAATACCAGAAAGATGTTTACCTGTGTTGTATTGACTATGCAAAAACATTCAACTGTGTGGATCAAAATAAATTATGGATAACATTGTGAAGAATGGGAATTTCAGAGCACGTAATTGTGCTCATGTGCAACCTGTACATAGGCCAAGATGCAGCCGTTCAAACATAACAAGGGAATACAGCATGGTTTAAAGTCAGGAAAGGTGTGCGTCAGGGTTGTATCCTTTCACCATCCTTATTCAATCTCTGTGCTGAGCAAATAATCTAGGAAGTTGGACTATATGAGGATAAGTCAAAAAGTATTGCTACAAAATCATAGAAACCTATATTAAACAAAAATATCAAAATGTAAAGATATTATTTCTCGACATATCCTCTATCTATGTCTATACACTTCTGAAGGCAGTGTTTCTATCTCTCTAACCTTTCCCTGAAGAATTCTGTGCTCTTCAATTTACACCATGTCAAAACGGCAGTTTTGGCATCCTCGAGGAACTCCAATTGTGTTCATTTTAAATGTTCTTTGAGTTTTGGGAACAAAAAGAAGTCTGTCATAGATTGAATTATGTCCCCCAAAAAATGTATGTATCAGTTTGGCTGGGCCATGATTCCCAGTATTGTGTGGTTGTCCTCCATTTTGTGATTGTAATTTTATGTTAAAGAGGATTGGGGTGGGATTGTATAACACCCTTACTAAGGTCACGTCCCTGATCCAGTGTAAAGGGAGCTTCCCTAGGGTGTGGCCTGCACCACGTTCTATCTTACAAGAGATAAAAGGTAAGGGAAGCAAGCAGAGAATTGGGGACCTCATACCACCAAGAAGGTAGTGCCAGGAGCAGAGGGCATCCTTTGGACCCGGGGTCCCTGAGTCGGGAAGCTCTTAGTCCAGGGGAAGATTGATGAGAAAGCTGACAGAGAAAGAAAGCCTTCCCCTGGAGCTGATGCCCTGAATTTGGACTTCTAGCCTACTAGACTGTGAGAAGATAAATTTCTTTGTTAAAGCCATCCACTTATGGTATTTCTGTTATAGCAGCACTAGATGACTAAGACAAAGTCTGAAGGGGCAAGATCAGGGCTATAGGGTGGATGGGGTAAGGTTTTCCAATGAAATTCTCGTAGGACAGCCCTTGCTACCCTTGAAGAATGAGCAAGTACATTGTCATGATGGAAAAAAATTCCTCGGCACAACTTTCCTGGTCTTTTTCTTACCGATGCAGTTTTCCATTTTTACAACTTCTTCGTAATGAGTCCCTATGATCATCCTGTGTCCTTTGAGAAAAACTGTTAAAATTACCCCTTTGGAATCCCCAAAAACAGTCGCCATAACCTTCTGAGCAGTCTTACCTCTCTTGGCTCATCTTTGAGATCTTCCTGACCTTCCTTAAAACACATGATCAATCTAAAAAGTGTTTTATGTGGGGCAGCATTCCCATAAACTTGTTGCAAAGCTTCAGTGATTTGGGAAGATGTCCACTTGAGTTTTGGTATTAGCCCTGACCTCAAAATCATTTTTTTCCATGGTGCAAAAAGTATCTTTTTTTTTTGAAGGCACCCTAATGATACTAAGA